GCTTTTTCGAGCTTTTTGTAAACTTTGAACACGAGTTACAGCCAAACGGAACGACTAAAACCACAGTAATATATCCTTTCATATGTTTGAAAAAATATTACAATTTAAAAAAAATAATAATAATCATACCGATAATATAGAAATCTCTTTGCAAGCGCTCTCTGTTGGTTTATTCTAAATTTCTTATTTTAAAACACGTACGCTATGCATCCCACCGTACAAATTCTCATTGGTTTCATCATATGATGCACATCATGTGCTGTCATCTACCAATAAAAATCATACTAATATAGATTCAAATTTAATTGCAAGTAATATTATATTCAGAGAAATCCATTTTGTTGAAACCAATTTTAATATTTTTTTTAATAAATTTTGCTGTTTTTATACTTGAGATTATATTTTTTTGAGTTTTCAAAACCTTATCACAAGAAATATTCGTTCATTTTATTAGTGTAGAGTAGTTTTGTCCAGTGAATTGTCTATTTGGTTTTAAATAATTTAATTCTATTTGTTTGTAGAAAAATTAATTTTGTTATAACTATGGTAAAAGCAGCCAAGATGCATGAGATTAGTGACAACTGTCTCACAATGTATTCATTAAATGATGTTGTTCTCTATATAGCAAATTCATATTACTCGGATTATTTAGATTCTGTCGGTACAGTATATTTAACAGAATATATAGAAACAAGAGAACGCTTTTTCGAATGGAAGCCCAAAGAAGTTAAAGTTCTAATCGATGATGATTGGAATGTTGTTAATAACGTAGCAGGTTGCTCGGATGAGCAACCAAAATACATCAAAATAAAGCTAGAGACTATTTATGGATATTGGACTTCTATAGAAATGAACAAATTCAAAGTGATGGATAACAAAAATGATGTCCATTGCGCTCTAACGATTAAAGAAGGAACATTCGAAATTTTATATGACGCAATGAATGCATTATTTATAAACCAGAAATATAAGAATCCTCTCCATCATCATGCAGTGCTCAATCCTTTCGAAGAATCGTCCGATATTTACAGAGCATTTTTAGATCTGGAAATGTTTCTGGATAAAGAGACAGCGAGCAATCTCTGGCATTTCATAAGTGCATTCCAGGACCTTCCCAACCAATTGATAGAGGCTAGTTTAGAGAAACTAGGATTTTCCTGCAAAATCGATGGTACGAAGTTCTAAGTTACATAATTTATTAGTAATACAAAATCGGTTTTAGATACTAAGAGAATAGATTCGACCGCAGTATCGAAAGTCGAAGGAACTCCAATACAAATGCCAAATTTCCCACCACTTATTATCAAAAGTATGCCGTTCACATACTATGAATTTACTAATGACAATATGAATTTTGATGCATTTAAGCGACGTGTTTTAGAAGGAGTAAGTATTGACAATAAGAAGTATATATAATTATATTAAATGGAATGGTTTTCTTAGGGTATTAATCCGGAGTGTCGTCCAAAGATGTGGAAATATCTATTAGAATACTATCCTTGGAAAATCAGTCACTCCGAACTTAAACAAATTGATGATAATTGTATTGCTAGATACGAATACACGAAGGATAAATGGGTAAAATTGGCCGAACAAGATTATAGAAGTCGCGAGGATTTGAAAATCCGTATTTCCGCCATGTTGAGAGAAATAGAACTAAAGAAACACATTTGGTCCCAAGTGCCCTCAATGACATACACCAAAATCAGTCGAATGCTAAAGACATTAGTGATCCATAGTAACGAAGTGGGTTATCTGTATGGAATGACGGACCTTTTGCTACCGTTTGTAAGAGCAACGGGTAGCGAATCCGATTGCTTCTGGTTGCTCACTCTGCTTCTAGATAGATATGTAATTTATCAAACTACAGCTGATCAACAAAATATTAACTACTTCATTTCAGCATAATTCTGAGTTGAAGAAAAATGATATTCCAAATCAACTAAATGATATATATAAAATCTTGAAGATTCTCGATCCCCAATATGCGAAATATTTTAAGTCAAAAAATTGCAAGCATATGTACTTCTGCATAAGATGGCTATGGTTATTATTCACTAGAGAGTTTGTTGAAAACGAAATTCAAACATTATGGGAAGTGCTGTTTTTGGATTTGCCATGCCCTAATTTCCATCTGCTGGTAGCAATTGCAATTTTGCAAACTCAAAAGGAATACATCATGGAAAATGATTTGGATTACTTGGAAATTATGAAGGTATGCATCAATTTAAAGATTTTTTTTTAAAGTATATTGAATATTCTTTTCAGCGCGTAAATACACTGAAAGGTACGTTGAGAGTAAATGCGATTATAGACGATGCTCAGACGTTGCACGCCCAATTGGAAGAGATACTCAAAATCCCGGACAATATCAGAACTATTAAGGGTATGAATCTGTCTCATTTAGATGATTTAGATGACTCCACGGATAGCGTCATAAGAGACCTGGTCGCGAACTTGAGGGCCGCATGTAATGAGTGAACATTATTTTTTTTAATATTTTAAATTTTTTCATCTTATTATATAATCCAATAAACACATTTTAAACAATCAATATGTTTCTGATTCTCTCAAATGCTACTTTAAGATAGACATTTTCAGATATGATCATGATAACATTTAAATTCATTAAAATTGTGGGAATCTTATCGCGTTTAATGAATGAAATTAGTTTTAATGCTTGTTTCCAAGGTTTTGGTATTTTTTTTAATGCCATGAGAAAATCCGAACAAAATAAGGATGTTTGGAGTGTATGAGATTCATGTTAATTGTAATCATTGTTTATTAGAATGAAGATTGGGATAAGTATAATCCGCATAATGGATCTCTTTCGCTTGTTGAGGATAACGGTAAACTTCAGTCGAATTCCGAGCCGATGGTAACACTGATGTCGCCTGGTAAAATATGGGTCTGGTGATACCATCGATTGGTGTCTACAACAACTGAAATCATCGATTATTATCGAAAATACGTGTACCACTGTAGATGACTCACTAATTTCACCTGGATTTACGACCACTTGGAATTCCTTGCAAGAGTAGAGGCATTCCGGAGGTGGCGCAATCCGCCACTTCTTGCGGCCACGCAACTGCGCTTGCCAGGACGGGTAATGAACGTTGTCTACCTAAAACCGCAACTATTGAATACCTCGGAATATATTATCTGTGTATATGCTCACGTGCATATGGGCACCATCTCCTGGTCCACCCATGAAGATCCAGCTCAGAGCCATGTTCTCAGAAGTTTCCGGAAGGAAGTAAGGACGATCGTAATACTCGCGCAAAACCTTTCCAGCGTCGTCATTGCAGTTGCTCCAACCAATATACCATGGAGTAGTTTTTGGCTCCAACCTGGACCTATCTTCGGACATGTTCAGAGCTTCCCTCAGAGACTCAAATTCCGTTTTATACGGAAAAAACTGACATTCTTGCTTACGTTTAGGGTAACTGGAATAAAGCTTCTTGAAGAAGCTAAAATCGAAATTGTCCACAGCCGACCATCCTCTGGTACCATCGAGTACAACCACAGGCCTAGCCTTCGCCACGTAGCGCTCCTCAAAATCACTAGGAGAAATATTCATTACCTTATCCACCCCTCCTAGATTCTTACATATTCCGCAATCCACAACTTCGCGAAACGCTTTGGAAGCGTCTATAGGCATGTCTAATACACACTAAAGAAAAACGAATGTAAGGACTTTATATAATTATATGGGTATAGCCTCACCTGAGAGTGTTTCTCACCAAACACCCAAACCGCCAAAACTAAGCTGAATGTAACCAAAGCTATCTTCTTTATACTACTCATTCGAGCCTTCCGTCTTTTACACAACAACTTGGAGATATCCAACTGCGAGATCTCCGCCATAGGAATCTCGCCCAGCTTGGACTTCCGAAGGATAGCCTGGAAACGTTTCTCAGCTCTCTGCATGGCCAACAAGCATCGACTGATGAAGGATCCACCACTTTTCGTCCTTTATCTCATCCGAAGGAAGCCACAGCCGCCTGGACCCATTCAATTGGAAATCCAACGCATCGCTCATTTTCCACCACCTGATCTTAATCCATTTTACAAATCACATTACGTACTTATCACAGCTCCACAGGATTTCGATTAAATTGATGCTGTGGAAGAAAAGGCTCTAGCGTTTATACACAAATAAAAGCAATTTAAATTAGCAAGAACAAAAAAGAAGCTAATCCTAATCAAATTATGTAAGCACATTTTTCATTCAAATTTTCAACATATTATATATTATTTTATAAAAAAATAAAATAATTTCCTGTTTCTGTTTTTACAAACTATAATTAACTGTGAAAAAATCAAAATTGAATTTATTAATTATTTAAATACTGTTTGGAACGAATAACATTTGTGGTGAAAGTTAAACAAACAAATTATTTTTAAATCCACAAAATATGTTTAACTCATAAAAGTCAGTAGTCGAAAAGGAAACTGCGTGTAATTCGATATTGATAAAAATATATATAGAGAAAAAACTATTAGAATTACGACGTTCGCTTTTCTTTTATGAATGAACATTGGAATTCCAATAGACCTATTTATGGTGCGCAAGCAATAAAGCGTCATAAATTTCATTACCATAATATAATTCTGTAACCGGAGAAGAAAAAGCGTTTATCAGGTTACTCCATATCGAGTAGAGCGAACATAAATAAAAAGAAAACACTAAAATAGCAATTGGAGACCTTCCGGTGTTTACCCGTACATCGAATGACAATAATTTGCAATAACCGTTGCATATCGATAAGATAATGCCGCGTTGCGTAATCGCTTCTAAGAAGCGGTTGTAGTCATGGATGTGTATTCTTCTATCTTTCCGCTGCGTGCGAGTGTTGCCAATGCAGTAGCCCTAATCAATACCATGAAATTTAGGGGTGCCACGAGACCCCTTCTATTGATTAATCCGGATGTGGGCTAAGCCCACCCGGTGATATTCATTTTTCCATTAACAAATGGATGACTCATCCCGACCTTTAAGTAACAATAAACAACAAAATGGTCACCGTATTGCTAATTATGCAGAACTGAGCAGCCTTATCATGAACGCATAATTACGTACGTAATTCTAAAGGCGGTGCCTATCTTCAACACACCCATTTATTTTCTAGTTTTCTTATGTATAACTTCGTTACATATATGTTTATATGGAGTGAGTCATTGCAACCACAAGATTCGGGTTTTACGTATTGCTAAAGCGGTTGAATCATATACTAATAGTTAGTATTTGAATAATTTCTACAACTACAACGAATTAATAAACTGGAATTTCCTTTTAGGCTGAGCGGAAGTTTTTGCACACGCTTGTTTTATGCACGATGAAGGGAGGGTTGGAAAGGTTATCGACCTTAGGTCCTTTCGGTGATGCAGCAAAAAATGATAAAAAAATAATAATAAACGTAACTGTACGCATCTTCTTTCGCTTTAATCAAACAATAGAAATACACTAATTGATGTGTATAATTAATGTTAAGTATTTTCAATTTAAAATACCGGTACTCGCGCTGTTGTTTGGAACGTATGGTGTTGATGTTTTGTATATTGTTAAGTATATCTTTGCTTTAGATAAGTTATTAATTGCTTTATGTAATTTGTAAATAAATTAAGAATTGGTTGGTTTCTTGATGTTCTATTTTATATGATTCACTGAGTGAAAGTGTTTGATAAGCGATGTTGAATAAAGTTTGATAAGGCTGTGCGTGGTTGAGGCTGCTATGTACAGAAGAACGGGTATTGTTGTGAAACGGTGGGCATCCGTTGGACGTAGGTTGTTGGTAGGTAGGTATTCTTTTACGGCAGGTAAACCGACGGCCGGAGGAGACTCTTACCTGCGCGTTATGCAAGCAGCATTTTTTGGTGGGGTAAGTGGCAGCAGAGGAGCGAATCTAGGGGAGAGAGAGAACCCGACCAGAGTAGATTCAATCGGCAGAAAAGCCCAGTCCGAGTCGGCACGAGACGAGCCTCCCCAAAAAATCCAACCTACCAGAGCTAGTCAAACAGAATTCAGGCATATTTTATCAATAGCATGCAAAGTAGCCAATACATATAGAGGAAAGGAAGGGGAAAGGCGATAATGCTTTTGAACGTACTGAAAGTATAGACATAGAAGTCAAGTAGTATCGAGAGTGAGTGCGTGCTTCAATATGGCCGAGAAAGCGAAGTTGACGATGGATGAGCAATCCGAAATCAAGGAACAATTCACGCTGGTAAGTGGATGCCCCACACAAGACACTTAGCCCTTAACGCCAGACACCCCCATTACAATCGATACCCCAAGCCGTAACCGAAACGCGTGGTCCTGTTCCACACCTCAAAGCGCACAAAAATAACCGATACTTAAAGAAAAAAATCGGTAACAATAATAAATCTAAACCATCAACGCCCATCCCTTGATAACAGCCTATCCCATTACTATCACGAACAAATGAATCATCAACGAAAGCCACAGGCAGAAAATCCACTGCACCCACATTACAAATATTAATGCTAATCCTAATCCAGCTACATAGACCCAACAATAACAACAAAAATAATAAAAACAATGTACCGAACGCCCTCGGACTCGGAGGTTGTGATTGTCACGACTTTGCGCGCTGTACAGCCCGTGTTGTATTTCGATAAGTTTCAATATTCGCACACCGCATGTAACGCAATACGAAAATAACAAACGCATTCTTGTGAAATATAAATAATCAAGAGAAATATACACAAAATTTCCATACCAACAAGAAGTCAACAACAATAACAATAAAAAAAAACGAAATCAAAATACGACTGTAGCCTAGAAGAAGATTTCGAGAAGCGCGCGAATCTTTATAGGAAAATACGAAGCGAATCGAACTAAACTGCTAATTATTTTGCGCGAATTGAGTTAACCTTGGCTGACGCATTCGTATCTCATTGCATTGAATGCACAGACTGATTCGAAAGCCTCCGCAAGATCGGTTAGCCTTCGCGAATGATGAAAATAGACCTTTAGAAGATGGTTTCATTGCTGAGACGGAGTAAAGAGTTCCTAGGAGGGTGTGATTCACGGTCTTCGCGGAATTATTTATCAATGCTTTTGGTTTTTTCTTTTATTTGCTAGAAATTCCTCGAAGAAAAGTAGACGTCAAAGAAAACCTGAACCGCGCCCTATGCAATACTTGCAAAAAAAAAAAGAAACATTTTTCGATAAGTTTTGATATAACCGCAATTTTGTGAATTACAATTTTTATCACGTTGGAATTAATTTGAATGCAAACGTAATCTTATCATACAGATTATATAATCGAACGTAAATAAATAGTAATAGAAATAAATATGCATACAGAACTGATTTCCATTAAGCAAATTGTTAAACGTTAATTTAGATAACAATTAACAATAAGTAATTAGTAAAATAAGCAAATATAATAAAATTTGTATAACTTAGGTAAAACTAACAATTTCATATAATGTTGAAACATACATTTTAATTATGAATTCAATTAGAGCAAAAGTTTCGTAAGATTTTTGAAAAAAAAATAATAAAAAAAAACGTAAAGGCTATATCTTATCTAAATCGTTTTATTTTTGTTACTCGTTTGATCAACATGCATATATTACATTTTTTTCCGTTGACGTAAGCCAAACCTTTTCTTAACAATATCATATATATTTCCTGCGGTTAACTCATTTCTGCAAATAAGCATAATTTTCTATACAAAATCTTATTTCAAATAAATATACAGCAAAACCTCGCTTAACAAGTGTAATCCATTCCATTCGTATAGTGAAACATATTCAAAAATACACAAGTTTTAAAAATGGACTTCTTTTCTCATCGTCGCTCGTTAAGCGAGTCATTTTTCTTACAATTTATTTTGTTCGTTAAGCGAGGTTTCACTGTATTCTTAATTAAAAATGCAATAAATATAGATAACATAAAAAGCTTTGAGACCAATTTTCCAAAATTGTTATCTTAATACTATAACACGGATATTTCATCGATTTGTCATCAATCTCAAGTACAGTAAATTTTTCATATTTTTAGGTCGTTCGATGTTCTATAAATTTACTAATAACAAAGTTTAAAAATGATTATCTAAAACACAATCTAATAGTAAAAGACTTAATAGAATCATATAATTATTAAGAAATTTTGATATTAAAACTTAATTCGAATTGGTAGTAAATTAATGTAAATTACATATCTGCTTTGCTTTGCTTCGCAAAGGTCTTGTGACCTTAAATATTTCATTTAGGGCAAACGAACTCCGGGTCGATAGGTTAATTGTATTGCTTGAACTTTAACAAAGTCTATTAAAACAAAACAAAAATAAGAAGAAAATCTTTCGTAATTCAATTATATTAAATCAAATTGAATCAGAATATTCATAAACATCTCTTCACTTTCGAAATGATTACATGTACAGTAATGTGTTACAAATAAACATATCTTAATTGATTCAACAGCTGGATTGTACTGAATACTTCCTTCCTTCGGAATGTATGTAAATAAATAATACATAAGCTAAGAAACAAAAAAAAAACATAAATCGCGCGATTATAATTCCCATTAGCAGAGGCTTCACGTTAAGATCAGTCTGGATGTTAAACGATCCTCGTAAATCATGTGCATTCAGACGATGTATGCGCATGTTTCAAGAGCACATAAATGTTTCCTAATTAATTATGTACTTCGTTGCAGACTAAACTCATTACAAACCGTTTATTATCTTTTCACATATCTTTCATTTTAACACTCTAAATAATTATTATTAGTTTAGTTTTTTCAAACAAGTTCTAACAATTTCTAAATACAGTGGAATCTCGCTTAACGAGTTTAATCCGTTCCAAAATTTCTGGATTTTTACACATATAATGAAATACTCGTAATACTTCTTTATACGAAACGTCGTTAAGCGAATCATTTTTCTTACAAATCATTTTGCCCGTTATGCGAGGCTTCACTGTACAATTATTTAATCTCAATAGACGATAATATCTTAGATTTCCTTTAGAAACTTTTTTTTGTCATAAATAATTACTCTTACTGAATATAAATGATTATGACTGATTTAGATTAAGTAATGAATATAAGTAATGGCAATTGGAAAACCGCACGACAAAAGCATTGAAAGTGTTACGCAATTGGTAAAGAGAAACGAACTGCGGTTTGTTTCTTTGTAACATTTGCATGTTTGTTAGTTGCTTGTTCTTTTTTTTGTCTTCTTCTTCTTCTGTTCCTGCTGTTGTTTTCAATTAATAAGTGTAATTCAATACTGCTCCGTGTACATTTACTGCGAACTTGGCTAACAGGAAAACCAGACCATCTTTCTCATCGTTTTGCAACGCAACTAATTCCATTACGTGCCATTTTTTTTTTTTAAATTTACTTTGACTCGACAATTTCCACCGCCTAGATATATTACCCATTTTTGCCTAGGCAAGGCTGGAGCAATCTCTTTTATACTTGCAACAATGTCCATTATATTAAATATCAATTATATCAAATACTTATGTAACTTAAATAATGTCCTATTTTCAAATTAAATTCTCAAAAAAAAAATCATATCTTATATAACAGGGGTGGCCAGACTTTTTGCAGCAAGAGTAGCACCAAACTTTTTGGTATAATAATTTTAAAAAATCACAATCATCCCTGTTATATAACATGCAGTTAGCATTAGAAAAATGAGAATCGTTCAGAAAATGTGATTTTATTATTTTCAACTTGAGATGCAGATTTTATTTAACAGAATGAATACATTTTTTTTTGTAAATAATGATGCTGTCAATATTATTATCCATGAAGTATTAGATAAAATTAAAGAAAAAATGTTTACTTAGCTTATTTATATCTCAAGTCTCCAAGTCATAAAGTTGCAATCTTTGAATGTATATAAGATTAGCTTATTAAGCAATTATTAAACATAAAATTGTTCTAAAAATAGGTCTGAATCTTTTAATGTTTATAATATTAACAAATAAATACACTCGTATAGTGAAACATATTTTAAAAAAGATGTAGAAAGCGCGCAATCCGGGACTTCTCTTCTCATCTTCACTCGTTATGCGAAACGTCGCTCGTTTTTCTTACAATTCATTTTGTTTGTTAAGCGAGATTCCACTGTAAATGTTTAAAAAAAAAATGAAACGAGTATTATGTTGTAAATCTTGCAGATATGTATGTCTCATGCCTACAAATTATTTGCGTTGCAATTGTACATAGAAAAAAATGAAAACAGTTGAAGACAGCGACGAAATGAACATGCAGAAACTAAATAAAAACCTCGTGTTCGAATCTGAATAACACGCTTACCTAATACCAAACGAAGGAGAGTCGCTGCACATGAACTATCAATTATGTATGAAGCACTTAACATTAATTTATTACTAATAGTTTGTTTTTTTTTCTCTCCACGGAATAGCGAAATTCCTACGGAATCTCGCAGCAATCGGAAATTATGGATATTCCCATTTCATTGGAAAACAATAGCATCCTTTTGATCGTTGTTACTCATTAAAACGATGAATCATTTCAGTATTATTTTTTTTATTGGCCATTACAACAATTACAAGTCAGTGTTCAGAATGTAAATTTTTTCTGAGTGCGTAAGAGAGAAAACTGCCGCGTGATTCATGGACAGACACGCTATAACCATGCTTCGCACTTTGCATCAACAACAAATCAATTCAAAGTGTGAATGAGATATCTGAAGATGTGAATAAATCAATGTTTGTAAACAGGTAATCAAGGCAAAGTAAGAAATGGAACAAATGCAACGAACAAAGCTTTTAAACAAAGATTGTCAATGACCTTTAAATTGTTAAACATATTCATGCTTAAATTGTGTTTATTTTTTGGCTTGTACTTGGAGTCTGTACTCTCTTAACGCCCGAACTTAACAGTTAACTTAAATAACCGGTTTTGTCGCATATTTCTCTCTTTTTAATGTATTATTTCCTTCTTTTCTCGCACAATTAAGTCGACTAAGAATGTGGCAATTTTCATTATATTGTCTTGTTCGTTTTTTTTATTTATATGTATATATATGTGAGTGTGTGTATTTTTCGTATCTTCTCTGATGTGAAATTAACATGAACTGGGACATAAAAACGGTCGAAAAGGAAACGAGAATGTAAAGAAGAAAACCAGAATGTGTTCATGAAATATGTATGCGAATTTTGTTTCGGGAAACGGCTGAATGATTTGAACGACAAATTAACTGTTTCAAAGTTCCGGCCGATGGTGATTGAACCCGCGGCGTCTGGACTTAATTAATATTAATAAGAGTCATCATTGGCGATGATGAATAATTGCTTTGAATAATATTTGCTTACATTTTGTTGAAAACGAAAGCGATATAAGTCCACGATTTGGACGTCTAATTGTTTTGCAAAACACTGCACACTGCACTTAAGAACCGATGACCAATTCTTTACCTGAGTAATCGCTGTGATTGTTTATAAACTATTCGGACTCATCGGTGATAGACAATGACAGTAAGTCCGTATTGTATGAGTGGACTAGATAGAAAACACAAAAGTGATATTAATTGATAGTTTATCAACAAAGATTAGATTGGTGGAGGTGGTTTATAAGGCCACCTTTGCAAATTAGTATCAGTTCATTTCGAACAACCGAGAAGTGAGTGCTAGTGAATACCAGTTAATACAATAGTTGTCAAATCGACCAGTCTTCAAGAATTTTACTTAATTATTCTCAATAAATAAGTTAAAAAATCCAGCAATAGTCATGGACGTTTTGCATCTCCAACGCAGTGACAGCCACTCCGAGTGGGTTGAGGAGCTTTCCGAAACCAGACCATACGCATTCGTGAGTAGAGTTTAGCAAATGATTAGAATAAGAGCGTTGGCGTTTATGTTGAGATGATTAAGTTAGGCCTTCGCATTTAAGATAAAAGCAGAAGCAATCTGTATTAGACAGGAAGGATGTTGTCTGGTTTTGGAATTGTTGTTCAGCGAAATTTTCGTTATCGCAGATAATTACTTTATCATGCACTTATTGATTCTGTACGGGCGTTACGCAACGTGTCTCGTGGATGTCGCCTCAGCTAATGTTTCCATTGCTTTGATTTTGCAGATAGATACTAATAACGATGGTTTCATCGACATCAAGGAACTCCGCGAGGCTTTGACCAAATGCGGCTTCAAGTTGCCGGGATGGCAAGTGCGCCAGATGGAGGAAGAGTTCAAGAACAAGAATCGTACCAACCAAGAGGGAAAACTCTCGTACGATGAATTCGAAAAACTCTGCAGCGACTTGAAAGCCAACGAAGTTGCCAGCAAGTTTAAGCAGGTGGTCACTCGCAGGGAAAACTTGCAACATCTTGGTGGAACATCCAATGCCTCCAACGAAGGTACCACTCATTCCGTTCGCGTTGAAGAGCAGCTTGCCTTCTCCGATTGGATCAACGCCAACCTAAAGAAGGACAAGGACCTTCAACATTTATTGCCAATAGACTCTGATGGCAAATCTCTTTATGACAAGGTCACAGACGGCATCCTACTTTGGTAAGACAGACAAGTGTTAATTGAAGAATTTCAAATGTTAATGTTGATTTCCTTGATCCGTAGCAAAGTAATAAATCACTCATGCCCAGACACAATCGATGAGAGAACCATCAATAAGAAGAATTTGACCCTATATACCAAATTAGAGAATTTAACTTTGGCGTTATATTCATCGCAAGCTATTGGCTGCAACGTTGTTAATATCGACGCCCATAGCTTGTCCAAGGGTACACCGCATCTGGTCCTTGGTCTGCTGTGGCAGATTATCCGCATCGGTCTCTTTAATCAGATCTCTTTGGAGAACTGCCCAGGACTGACCGCTCTTCTTGCCGATGATGAGAAGATAGAGGATCTACTTAAGCTCTCTCCGGAAGCGATTTTACTCAGATGGGTAAACTACCATATGGAAAGGGCCGGCGTCAACCGTCGCGTGCACAACTTCACCAGCGACATCGTCGACTCGGAAGTGTATACACACTTACTCAAGCAGATCGCCCCTCAAGACTCCGATGTAAACACCGAAGCCCTTTACGTGAGTTGATTGCAAACAATCCGTCGAGACATTAAGGTATTCATGAATCGCTTTGCATTACAGATAAACAATTTAGAAGAGCGTGCCGAACTCATGTTGAAGCAGGCAGCTAAATTGAAGTGTCGCTCATTCGTCACACCCCAGGACGTCATAAACGGAGTTTACAAGTTGAATTTGGCCTTCGTTGCTAATTTATTCAACAACCATCCTGCATTGGAACAAACCAACGGCGTGCTCGAAGGATATGAGACCGTCGAAGAGACCAGAGAAGAAAAGAGTAAGTTGGCTTCATCGACATTCACCTCACGTACTCGTGAATCATCGTACTACACACACATCGAATGTGACCAGACTAATTATTTGGTTAATTGATCAATCCTATGTCTTCGTATTTTGCAGCTTACAGAAACTGGATCAATTCGATGGGCGTTTCACCTCACGTGAACTGGTTATATTCCGATTTGGCCGATGGGCTTGTCGTCTTCCAACTATACGACATCATCAAACCAGGAATTGTTAACTGGAACAAGGTCCACCGCAAATTCTCCAACTTACGCAAGTTTATGGAGAAATTGGAAAACTGTAACTACGCCATTGAACTTGGCAGAGAGATCAAGTTCTCACTAGTTGGCATCGCTGGTCAAGATATCCGCGAAGGCAACGTTACGTTGACCTTAGCTTTGATCTGGCAGCTGATGCGTGCTTACACTCTGTCCGTTTTGACCCAATTGGCCAAGAGCGGAAATCCCATTGTTGAGAAAGAGATCGTACAATGGGTTAACAAGAAGCTTTCCGACGCCAACAAGAAGTCTTCCATTAAGAGCTTCCAGGATTCCAGTATCGCTGATGCCACCGTCGTCATCGATCTGATTGACTCTATTAAACCGGGTGCCATCAACTATGACTTAATCAAGACCGGTGGATCCGTTGAAGTATTTACTATTTAAACAATATATTCTCGATCGGCTGTGCTAATCCCTGTTTTCTTTATGTTTTTCAGGATAACCTAGACAACGCAAAATATGCCATCTCCATGGCTCGCAAAAACGGTGCACGAGTTTACGCACTTCCAGAAGATATCACCGAGGTGAAACCCAAGATGGTTATGACCGTGTTTGCCTGCTTAATGGCATTGGACTACGTGCCCACCATGGACAGCGCCCCAGAACAATAGTATTCATCCCTATAAACATCAACAGAGCTTTCTACTTTATTTAAACCACTACATTGATACAATTATAATGATTTTTTTTATATACATTTAAACAAGATTATCAAATCTGTGATTGACATTATATAATACATATTCCATTAGATACTTATACTTGTAACCTATATCAGGAAGCCACTAGTCCGAATGAGTATTTCGCGATTGAAGGCACTTGAAATAAAAGGAAATCAACTAGTGAATGCGCAAAATATTTGTGCAACGACTTGGGTTTAATGTCGATCATACATTTACTTTTTTTCTTCTTTCGTTTAATTTTGTTTATTCTTTTTTTTTTGGGTATTTAATACAATTTGCTTATTTCCATATATGAACATGTTGTAAACGATTGCAGAGCGACTTATTCCTATTTTAATCAACAATGAATTTCATATAATTACTATTACATATTGATTATAATTATTGTATATTATTTTTATTTTATAACAAAGAATTTATTTAATGTATATATATAATAATTTAATTTAATTTTAATTCAATCTCTCCTTGTTTTTTTTTATTTCTTCTTCAAGTTTTCTTCATTTTTCTTTTGTTTGTTTTCGTTTTCTCTTTTCTTTTCGACATTTACCTTTTGTTTTGCATTTTAAATGTCGTTTTAATTGTTTCTTTCATGGCTGAACTACCGATGCCTTCAGGAATAACAGAACCGAAGTGCCATTTATAGTAAACGCAACTTTGTATTGTCACTGATGGCAATAGCGTTTCGTAAGTTGTCGGGAATAAAGTAGCATAAGTAAACTAACTGATTATTGATAATTAATAATGAACGAAAACAATTTCATATCATTTCTACGATTTGTATATGTATTTGTACACGAAGACTGTACACTTTGTACGGTTGGCTTAAGGAAGAATAAATAAACTAAATAGTGAGAAAAAAAAATAACAATTTCCTTTACCTCATATCTCCTCTACCTAACTATTACTGATTAACATATTTAATTACTTATTAATAATGGCAAACTTTTCCTATTAACGTAGTATAAATATAATTAACCTAGAGACTGACTGATGGTGTGTTTAATGATTAGATTGCCGCATTTTGAATATCAATTGGTAATCGATGTCTTTCGATTTGAAGGTCGATTTGTTAATTATTACAGACCCTCGATAAGAATTCTTGAAGTATTGTCTCACTATTTATAGCATGCGGTTGTAATTTTAATTGACAATAATCATATCTCCCCAGCGTATTACAATTTAAATTTTCTCAAACTGTTTGCTTTCCTGAGCCAAATTTGAAACCGCAATTTTACGTAACATAAATAATGACTTAGAAGGTATATACGCAAAATAAACATGTTTTGCAAAAGATAATAATTATATTATATAATTGTTATTAATAGAAATTTGATATAATTTTCAACGTTGCCGGGTTTTTCCCTTACTAATAAAAACGGAAGAACTTTTTACTTCTACCAATTCCAAGGATTCTCGAAGGTGACCGATATTGGGGCGCATGCAACTAGCTTCCAGCACGCTACAAAGGACAGGCACTATGGATAATTACCAAAGAGCGAGTGAAATGGATAGAGGCATGTGCTATGAGGAATAGTGTAGTAGTCTTGATCCTCCAACACTTCCTTCATTCAACATTCAATAGTTCCGATTGGAAGTGCTCTATTAACTGAGTATAGGAGCAATCATTTCCAATATCTAGCTTATCGAGAATAGTTTGATCTTGTCAAATATTAAATGTGCAACTGAATAAATACGAGAGAATTTCGTTGGAAGCCGCAGATCTAGTCGAACTTTAGCCATGCCTGTTCCAAGTCTCCAGAAGCCTGCCCCTATCTTCAAAGGTACTGCTGTCGTGAAAGGTCTGTTCAAGGAAATCAGCCTTGAAGATTACCTGGGACAGTACGTGGTATTGTTCTTCTATCCCTTAGATTTGTGAGTAAATTCATTTCTGGTGCGTTTTTTTTTTAAATAACTTTATTTCCAGTACGTTTGTTTGCCCAACTGAGATCATAGCGTTTTCTGATCGTTCCGATGAATTCAGAGAAATCAATACCCAAGTTGTCGGTTGTTCCACCGATAGCCACTTCAGCCACTTCGCCTGGATTAATACACCTAGGAAAATGGGAGGTCTCGGCGAAATGGAAATCCCATTGCTATCTGATAAGGCTATGAAGATATCGACTGCTTACGGCGTCTTAGATGAAGAGACAGGTGTACCATTCCGTGGTCTGTTCATCATCGACGTCAAAGGCAATCTTCGACAGATTACCATTAATGATTTACCAGTGGGTCGTTCCGTAGATGAAGTCTTGCGTCTGGTACAAGCTTTCCAGTTTACCGATGAATTTGGTGAAGTCTGCCCAGCTGGTTGGAGACCTGGAAAGAAAACTATGAAGCCGGATGTTACAGCAAGCAAGACCTATTTCGAGACCACTGATAAAGAAAAAGAAAAGGAGAAAGAAAAAGCCAAATAAAAAGTGTTGGTTAAATAGAAGTATGCACCGTAAGAAGTATTAACAAAGAACATACAGTCTCAATATAGCGTTTTTGCACCTAAAGCAAATGAAATTATTATTTCCACAAAAACACCAGAGTTTTATATTAAATACATTATCAAACTTTCATAATCCAAGGACGGAAATAAGTTGTTTTTTATTTTATCTAGTTACAAACGTCGTAATAATGTTCGTTTAATATCGAAGAGATACTTATAAGAATTTGGGGAAGTGTCGTCTTTCTTAAGAAATTCTCACCAAGCAAACTATTAAAATATTTGCAAAAATAAATTAAATCTGTATGAATATAAGTTGTCTTTTTTGTATCCATATGAAAACACCTGCTTTCTTTATATCATCCTGATAATATAATCTAATTATTAGTAATCAATTAAAAATATATCTTAGCAAAGGAATTTGTAAAAAAGAAATTGGTTAATAGTTCTTCTTTAAATTTCAAGAAATTTATAATTGGTTTATAGATAGATTTAAAAATGATGAATAAAGTAATGCAACAAAGCAATCATTATGTTGTATTATCGTCTTATATGATCATTATCTTTGTAGATAACATTACGTGGCTCACGCTATTGTTATGTATTATCGAAAGAGAGTCTAATTGAATATTTACGTGATACTAGGAAAATGAATGATATTGATGAAAATTTCCAGAAAAATCAAAACTGGTCTATGTTCCATCTGCAACCAAACCAACACAACGTTACTTCTTTTACTTTAACAATTGGTGAGTTTTGAAAATAAATAAATAAGAGAAAAGTACAAACAAATAGGAATACTTCTATTTCCGAAATCGATACTTCAATATTCTTCGAAATCGTTACCAACGTATTCATATACTTCTAATTATAACAAATTAGTAAAAGTTTTATTAAAAATTATAACACATAACAAAATTAGATATTTATTATTGCAAGACACAAATGCATTGTGAAATCAATTTTTTGAAACAATATATTTGATGCGTAAAATTACAATACTTCTAAAAATTATGAAAATAATTGTTAACTTTTGTAATTGGAAAGTCTGAGTTTTGTATAATATATGTTTTAATAAAGAAAAAAAAACTATTTAGAATTGATTGTTATTTTATAAAAGTATGTCGCCAAGAGATTTTTTTCTTTGCTCCAGATAATGTAATATTTATAATGGCATTGATAATAGATGTGAACTGTATATGAAATCAGTTGATTGTAAAATAATCGAGATTGTGCTCGACTCGAAGATAAACCGTTTATGAATTATCACAATTATGCAATTCCTATACATAATTTCAAAATAAAAAATATGTAAGCTCGTGATAAAATTATACATTTAATATATTAAGAAATTACTTATAGGTTGGAAAAATTGCGGTCAATGGCCTTTGTATGTACGCATATATGCTATGCATTATGTTTATTATAACTTTATATTGTATTTCTTGTGGTTGAGAATTTCGCGTGAATGCAATTTTATGAAAGGAAAGGAAATAGAAAATTGTTGAGGTACGCGTAATCAGAGTCATCTGTTTTGCAAGTCGGATATATTACAGAGGCGCGGTATAACCAATAGTATTGAGTTTGCGCGTAATTCAAAATTTGAAATGTACCGGTGGTCATTTTGTTAGCGTGGGTAGAGGTGGACCAAGGCTAATCCAGATCGGGGTTAATGATCAGAAGGCAATCGTTCGATGGTGAAAGTCTGTGGCGAGGTAAATGACTGGAGCAGAATGAATGATGATGACGGTAACGATGGTCCGGCGATATGCGTTTGTAACGGCGAAAAGCTCCGGTTGTTATGCAACTAGTTTTTCGAAGAGCGGCGACACCGGCATTGGTTAAAAGGTGTTATCCAATACCGACGGACGCGATCGGGCCCCGACTCTCTGATTAAGTCGGACTCACCAGATAACACTCGTAACGAGTTTCTCACTCTTTCTCCAGCTAAGGTCGAAGCAAGTGTACAGAAATGTCGAGCTATCACAAACCGGAAGCTAAGGTGGTGCAGGAGCTGAAAGACATCGCGAACAAACTTCGCATCCACTCGGTTTCCAGCACTCAGGCTTCGAAATCTGGGTAAGTGGTGGTTTTGAAATCCGCCAATTTTATTTCTTCCCTTTTTAATACACGAAATCGCGCGCAGCGTTGGGAGGGGAGTCTCTTAATAAGAAGGGAAAAAAAGACGAAATGTTCAAGACAGCTTATCGAGTCGCGCTCTTAAGCAGAACAGTTCTATCTCAGATAAAGAACCGCACGAGTTGTATCAAAATGCCGGGTCAAACACACGCTGACATTGAAGCATTGACCGATATTGCTAACAGATTGAGAATCCATAGCGTAACCGCGACCAATGCTTCGAATTCGGGGTAAGTTTCCATAGAGAGCATGGCCGCGACCCAGAGACAACAAACAAGAATCCAAAGTGTTCAACACTTTCATTCCCATTTTTTTTTTCTTGCTGAAATTTTCATTTTATTTTTGAGTTATAACCGACTCAGCGTAAAAGTGCGACGATCTTTTATTTGCGCGATAAAATATTTATAGAAATATTATCACGGCGATGTAACGATTCGCAGCCGCATGCGTTATTACAGATGACCTTGGTTGTATTGAACTGCATGTACATTCATACGCACTGTTGTATACTCAAATAGAAATGCAGCAAATTCAAATAAAAACGTGCTTTGCAGACATCCGACATCATGCTCGTCCATCGCCGAGATCATCTCCGTGTTGTTCTTCAACACAATGCGCTACAAGATTTCAGCGCCAAGGGACGCGTCCAGTGATCGTTTCGTCCTTTCCAAAGGTCACGCTGCTCCTATCCTATATGCAGCCTGGGCCGAAGCTGGGCTCTTCCCAGTCGATGATCTGAAAAATCTTCGTAAGTTGGGATCAGACCTCGAGGGTCATCCAACTCCCCGCCTCAACTTCATCGATGTAGGCACTGGCTCTTTAGGCCAAGGATTGGCCATCGCCGCTGGTATGGCGTACGTTGGCAAAAACTATGACAAAGCCAACTACAGGTATGCTCAGATTCTGGGTCAACCTTTCACTCAGATAATCATACATTATACCTCGAGCTACCAATTAGCCTAATCCAATTTTCAGAGTTTATTGTTTGGTCGGAGATGGTGAGAGCGCGGAAGGCTCCATCTGGGAGTCTCTCCACTTCGCAAGTTATTACAACTTGGACAACCTTTGCGTCATCTTTGATGTAAACCGTCTGGGACAATCCGAACCTACCTCTTTGGCTCATGATGTCGAGACCTACAGGAAGCGTCTTGACGCTTTTGGTTTCAACACCATCGTCGTTGATGGCCACAACATTGATGAACTCGTCAAAGCCTTCCACACATCCACCACCACCAAGAACAAGCCAACAGCGATTGTAGCCAAGACTTTCAAAGGCAAGAACTTCCCGAAAATCGAAGACGTGGAAAACTGGCATGGAAAGCCATTGGGCGCTGAATCTGAGCGTGTATTGCAGCATCTCCGTGGACTGATTAAGAATGAAGGACCAATCCTACTGCACCCGCAGAAACCATTGAAGGACGACGCTCCAGTTGTTGATATTACTAACGTTAAATTGTCTACCCCTCCAGCTTACAAACTTGGAGAGACTATTGCCACCAGGCAAGCATACGGAAACGCTTTAGTTAAGATTGCTGAAACCAACCCTCGCGTTATTGCTCTTGATGGCGATATGAAGAATTCTACCTTCTCTGAGAAGCTCAAGAAGATGGATGCTAATCGTTTCATCGAATGCTTCATCGCTGAACAAAACTTAGTTGGTGTCGCCATTGGAGCGGCCTGCAGAGATCGCACGATCGCTTTCGTCTCGACCTTCGCTACATTCCTCACCAGAGCGTTTGACCAAGTAATTATAACTTAAAAAATATTAATAAACTAAATTTTAATTAATTATCATTAAAGATTCGCATGGGAGCTATTTCCCAAACCAATGTGAATTTTGTCGGTTCGCATTGCGGTGTCAGCATTGGTGAAGATGGTCCCAGTCAGATGGGATTGGAAGACTTAGCTATGTTCCGTTCCATCCCCGGATCTACGATCTTCTACCCAAGTGATGCTGTTGCTTGTGAGCGCGCTATCGAACTGGCTGCCAACACCAAGGGTGTGACTTTCACCAGAACAAACCGTCCAGCTACAGCAGTCATCTATGACAACAACCACGTGTTCCAAGTAATTACACGATAATAATAATTATTATTAGGAATCATATTTAAAATTCAATTTCTTTACAGATTGGAAAGGCTAATGTTGTTCAGAAGACCGACAATGATCAGGTCTTAGTCATTGGTGCCGGTGTGACCCTTAACGAGGCCATCACCGCCTCCCACGATTTGGCCAAGGCTGGAATCAACGTAAGGGTCTTAGATCCTTTCACCATCAAGCCAATCGATAGTTCTGCTATCATTGCGAACGCTAAGGAGTGCGGTGGTCGCATCATTACCGTTGAAGACCACTACCCAGAAGGTGGTTTGGGTGAAGCAGTCCTCTCTGCCATCTCCCAAGAACGCAACATTGTTCTTAAAAAGATGGCTGTTCCAAAGGTACCAAGGTCAGGACCTCCGACCGCACTATTGGACTACTACGGCATCTCAGCGAAACACATTGTAAATGCCGTACAAGAAATCTTGAAGCTCTAAGTCCTCTAAGTAAAACATTTCACCAACATTCATTTATATATATAATATTTTTATATACCAATGTCATATTTTATATTCAGTTTATAAAAGAATCTAATAAAACATTTTTACTAATTCAAGAAAAATTCACACCTATATGAATTGAATTGGAATGTACACCGAGCAAATAAAGTTATATAGCTTTAATACAAATAACAAAAAAAAAATACATATTGCCATCAACTAAATCAAACAAAGATAAGTTTAACTTAAATATTAGGCAATGCTTGTACTACTTTTCTTTAAATATTTGATATTAAATAAAGTTTTTTTTTGAACGATTTTTTTTATTATTATTACATAAAGCGATAAATATTACGTCACATGATTCTTGGTGATTTACGGTTCCTATAGTTGGTAGAGTATAAGAAGCGGGAAGTTTTAAACTACAGCAACGTGCGAAATGATCTGTTTTCATTTAACATCAACAATAATAGACAGTTCCAAATGCGTCTTATTGCTCAAAATCAGTGCATAAAAGTGTTGCAACTTATCAGAAGTGAATGCAGCTGTGCTCACCGTTCAATAACTTCAAAGTAAGTGATTTCTAATTGTTACAAGTCGTTGTACCGAAGATACGCAAAACATCTTAAAAAATTACTAGTATTCTTTTAGAAATATTGAACATATTCTATTTGAAAAAGGTCTCAACTTCTTAATGGTTTGTTATTATAAATTTCTTAATGATAGACAAAATATTCCAATTAGATAGGATTTGAAGGTCAAGCGGAGTTTGAAGGAATGACTTCTGCGAATATTAAAAACATCCAGACAGTTAAATATAACATATAAGCTATGTGGGACACGTGTCTCGTCAGTTCGATTCGAAAATGACTCGAGCTCAATTGGACCATTTAACCATTGGACCAAGCTCAATGTTTGTGTCAAGGTTATTAGTTCCAAATACCCTTGAACCCTCACATTCCTCAACTTCTTCCTTCAGAAGGAAACGTTAACCGCGCTCCAACTCTTTTTATTATTGTTGTCATCCCATTTCGCAAGCCAAAAAAGAAACAACAAGGAAGATAGAACTTTAATCTTGATGTAAATAAACAAAAAAATCTTGTTAGTAAACTTGCTCTTTTAATTTTAAGCGTCTCATTGGTTGCATACGTTGTTACATATTACCTTTAGTTACCGCAATAATTTATTGATATATATTTTTTAAAATTTCTATAATAATAATCAATAAATTTCGAAATGACGAATAGCGTTCCAAGCGAATTGACTTTGCAAAATGCTTTGACCCACTTTCAAAGAATACTATTTCTTTACTAATAATCGTATTTTTTTATGTATGTGCAACCCATTTTGGGTAAATTTCATCACTATACTTATACTTGTTTGTATACAATATCCTAGTATTATTTGTACGATCAATGTCATTTCGGTATAGCTATTATTATTTCCACTATTCTTATCAAAAAAAAAACAAAATGTTGTTGCAATTATCACCTATTATCTATTTATATTATTTTTGAATTGCGCCAATCGAGTGAAGTGCGAACATATCATATCAGACAAAAGTAATTGCTGAGGTTCACTTAAGCAAATCAATTTAATGAACGAAAGCCAACGTTCAATAGATTCGCACTGTTCGAGGCGAGCGCGATAAGTAATTGCCATTGGATGTTGGAAACTTTTGTCGATTGAAAACTTTCCTATCTGAATACGAATTAATTGAAAAATTCTAATTCGTTCTTCAATTAAGGATTTAGGAATATTTCTCGATTGTCTACCATATTATTACGATCTTTTTTTATTAACCGCTGTGAACTTTCATTGTTTCGAAACTCTTAATTATTTCTTTAATATCCAGTCTATTACAAAACTTTACAACAAAAAAAATAAATGCAACATCTTTAATATATTGGAGATGGTTTTAAATACTAAATTAAAAATTCTTTTAATATTTAGCATATTTTTTATTTACATTTTTTTTTTACAGAACAGATGATTATATAAACTTTACATTAAAAATAATCTATTTTTAGATATACTAGTAATTCTTGAAAAAAACAAAAACATCATTTTCTAAACTAGTTTTGGATTGGAAAAAAAACTGTAAAGTGGAATCTCGCTTAACGAGTTTAATCCGTTCTAAAATTTCAAGATTTTTACTCGTATAGTGAAACATATTCAAAAATATACATAAAAATGATATAATCCTGGATTTCTCTTCTCATCATCACTCGTTATGCGAAACGTCGTTCGTTAAGCGAGTCATTTTTCTTACAATTCATTTTGCTCGTTAAGCGAAATGGTCGTTATGCGAGGTATTCGTTAAGCGAGGTTACTCTGTATAGTAAAGTAACGAATATCTTGATAGAAGATATCTGTTTATGTCATAGATTTTCCAATAATAAAAAAAAGTAAAATATATCTGATCCGAATCACGTTCTAAACACACGTAAATACGTTTCCGTTCTTGGAAACATCCGATTATTAGAATGAATGACTTTACAAAAGCGCTTCGCATTTGCTGTAGCGTGATGTTGAAACAGATTCGTCCTATGCAATTAAGATAATAGAACTAAATCCCCCTGGAGTCGATACCAATTAAGTAATAAACCTGTTTTCGCTCGTTCATCATTGAAGCTTCGTTCCTGTTAGCTTAGCTCGTTCAAACATTGACTGGAAAAAAATACTTTTTACGTGTGCAATTCAATGGACATGTAGTGTAGGAAAATAATGTTACCAAGCAAAAAAGCTGATATTTCTGTACTTGTTATCTTTTCTAATTAACATTTTACGTTTAAATCCCAGTATTATAAGAATTTCACTATTGTTATTTTCGTATGAAACAAATTCCTTTTTTACAGTTATTTTTAGGTATTTAAAATAATTCAAATGTTAGTTTATACAATGTTTCGAAATCAATTCGATGAGAAATTATTAGATTACTGTGTATTTTTCCAGAATGTTTATTCGATTCGATGAAAAGTAGTGATCGAATTTGAAAATAATAATTTAAATTCATCGTTTCGATACGTATCGGGAAATGGCGTTGCGATTAGATAAACGGTAATTGTGATGATTGATTTGTTAAAAATAACGTGCATTGTAATGTTTGCTTCTCTCTCAAAGTGTAAAAGTCCGAGATGAAAATATGCAGTAAAAAAAATAATGGATATCAATACTTTGCTGTTATCAAATTTGTTATGATAAATAAATAATTTATATAATAATTGAAATCTCTGTTCGTTTTCTATAATGCGATTTACACAACAATAGACTGTTTTATCTAATCGAGAGAATAGCGAGTATAGGAAAAAAAAAATAATTATGTTTATTCGTTGAAAATTGCTGATTTTATATTATGGCCTAAATTCCGTGGAGGTGTGTCGCCAAAATGAAATAAAACAAAGAAGAAAATGCATGCTCAACGATTTCCTAATGCACGTAGGTATTGCCCAATTTTTCGGTATTAAATATGAGTTAGGTCATTCCGGGTGCGCTTTCCACTTTGGTTGGTGATAGGAGTCACATTTGGGTATGTACCATTTATTTTGAGTGTTTCGCAAAATTTAATTTTCCCGGTAAATTGAAGTGGCGTTCCGGTAATTAGAGGCAACGGTATTTTGTCGACGTGCCTACCGTCAAGTAAGCACTTTATGTAAGTCTAAAGAAGAAAAAAACTGATGCAACTGAGCTAAAATTGCGAAAATGGTCATTTACGAGGATCTTTATTTAATTATCCTTTGGTTATGTTTCGATTAAAGGGCCGGAATGTTCGAGTTGGCATAAAACTGCCACAGGCGCGCTCCCAATTCTATAATTGCTTCTTCGTTTCTTTGCTGCGTTTCACAAAGCCGCAATTATAAGAATTGAGTGATCCAGTGTTTTTTTTTTGTTTCGGTTTACTGAGAATTTGTTTGAGAAGGAATCCGGTCGTGCGGTTTAGAAAACGTCTTTACGAGTTGTGCACGTAGACGCTACGCCCTCCGGGACACGCATTGTTTTTCGCTGTTATCCGAGAAGGCTTTGTTATTAATTTTTCTAAACTATTCCTTGCGAGAACCTTTATCAAAGCTAGGACAATTAGATTCATTGTGTGCTAATTGCAGATAATAAAAATATAATAGTCCACGTGTGGCGTAGTGATGCAATTTGCGTCTAATTGCACGTTTTGGTTTGCTGGGAGGCCTGGCTCTGTGGTAGAAATGGCGTTTTTTCATGGTGGAGGAAGGTGTGTCGGAGGCTCGGCTCTACGTCACCTGTACGTCATCGGGCAGGTTGCACAACTTACAATCACCTGCTGCTGAATGTCCATAGTCCAGTCGGTGCGGTACCCGCGCGAGATAAGCCAATCTTTTATAACTCGCGTATTTTGCTGTGCGCTCACTCGCATGGATGGTTCCAAAGCTACAACAACTCTGACCGATCTAACATTCTCACATCTCTAGGTACCAATCAGAAGATGCCATCGATCGTTCGGATCAACAGACTCATCGGTTGAATAGGCAAGCGACAATCCCTACGGACTACTCGAGAAAGTAAGAGTGATTACTACCTCTAAACTATTTAGTGAACATTTCGTGTATAAACTCAACAAAGTGTGCAAGTACAAGAGGTGCAAGATGCTTAGGCTCACGTTGATAGTTTTGATCACAAGCCTGACAAAGTTTGAGGTGCTTGCGGATTCACGGCCTCCTTGCTTCAGGTAAGATATTACCATTTTATATTGACCCGCAAACTTAGATTCATTTCACAAATCAAGTTGATTTCTATCAACTTCACACTCACACCGGGAATGATAAAGCTGTACGTCGTCGTCGTCTCCGATACCTAAAACATATCACAAAATGTTACAGCAACATCTACTGCCATGGCAAGCTTCTGCATACCGTACAAATGAACAAGATCTACGAAGACTCCAAAACGTTCGTCGACATGAAAATGCGCGAAAATGCAACAACAACGCTTCGACGCTTCGAGGATTTCATGAGCGCCCACAATAACCAACCAGAAAGGGAAGATGTCATCAAGTTTGTGGATATGGCATTCGAACCCGCTGGCAGTGAGTTTGAGGATTGGGTTCCGAATGATTGGAATCCGTCACCTTCTTACATAAAGAACATCAAAGATGAAGAATATAAGATTTTCGCAAACGATTTAAATGAGATCTGGAAGGATCTTGGGCGCAAAATGAAAGACGAGATTAAGGACGAAGAGCATTTATATAGCATTATATGGGTCCCAAATCCGGTCATCGTTCCGGGCGGTAGGTTCCGCGAATTCTACTACTGGGACTCTTATTGGATCGTTCAAGGACTTCTGCATTCGGAAATGTACGAAACCGTAAGAGGTATGTTAAGCAACTTCGCATTCATCGTAGACAAATATGATCACATTCCGAATGGCGGGCGGATCTACTACCTGGAGCGCTCGCAACCACCACTTTTTATTCCCATGGCTAAACTCTATCAAGACAAGACAAACGATATTGAATTCATCAAAAGTCACATCGATTCCTTCGATAGAGAATTTGAGTATTGGATGAAGAACCATTTAAGAGTGGTCGAAAAAGACGGTAAGAATTACTCGCTGCTTACGTATGGGGACAAATCACAAGGACCGCGACCGGAATCCTATTCCGAAGACGTCGACAGTGCCCGATACTTCAAAGATGATGCACAAAAAGAGGAATATTACTCGGAGCTTAAGGCGGCCGCTGAATCCGGTTGGGACTTCTCAAGTCGTTGGTTCATTGTGAACGGCACCAATAAAGGTAAAAACTATAATTATACGTCTCCGGGGTCCGGTTCTTACACGCACGAATTGCTTTTACAGGTAATTTAACGAACATCAAAACGCGATCAATATTGCCTGTTGACTTGAACGCAATGTTCTATTGGAACGCCGTCATTCTATCAGAATGGCATTCATCATTCGGAAACACTCAGAAGTCTTATTACTACAAAGATATCGCGGATAGGTGGCTTCAAGCTGTTGAAGCGATACTCTGGCACGAGGTCGACGGTATCTGGTTAGACTATGACTTGGAGAATAATATTCCCAGGGAACATTTCTACCCCTCAAACTTATCACCTCTCTGGACTGGCTGCTATAATAAATCAAATACCGATAGGATTGTACGATTGGTGCTGAAATATTTGGACAACAAGAATGTTGTAGCATCTGGAGGAGTGCCTACCTCTAGAGAGCATACCGGAGAACAATGGGATTATCCGAATGCCTGGCCTCCTCTACAACATATGATTATTGTAGGACTCAGCAATACCGGAAATAAGGCTGCAAGTCGTTTGGCCTACGAATTGGCAGATCGATGGGTCCGCTCCAACTACAAGGCCTACGCAGAGACCGAAGCTATGTTCGAAAAAGTAAATATATAAAGACGCGTATGGTTTGAATACTATTTTTTTAATTTGTTATTATTCAAGTACGACGCAACTGTATTAGGAGGCCATGGAGGTGGCGGCGAATACGAAGTCCAATTAGGCTTCGGATGGTCGAATGGCGTAATAATGGACCTGCTCTACAGATATGGAAACGAGTTAAGCTACAGCGAGCTATATACTTTGGAAGATATTAGCGAGGTGGCTGAGCCCATGGAGGGAGCAGCAACAGGAGCAAAGACGATAGGTCAGATCATGACAGGCTTTGTTGCGCTGGCAGTAACAATAGCCGCTGGTTACATAGGGTGAGGTACGTAACGGAGCCGAAGATATGGCACCAGGGGCACATTAATAATCATCTGGTTTTGTTGCAGATTCTTTAATGTCTAGATCACAGGATTACCTTGGATGTATTTATTAACTTCCCATCACAAACACTAAACACACACACACACATTCCTACCCCTTATTTAACTTATTTATTATTTAAATTTACTAATCACTAATTGTTTGCGCGTATTTTAACTCAGGGTAAAAAAAGAACAAAAAAAAAACACCACTATTTTTGATATCCATATTTTTTTTATGAATCTAATTTAAGTTCTTTGTATATAGTTATGTTTTATTTTTTATAAATATTTATGAGAAGAAGCTTTAATGTTCAATCACACTAATTGCTACAACCAACACAAATATCCTTAATATATTTATATATATGTTTGCCTCCGGTACCTGTAAAGCATGCTGTATGCATGTCCAATTTGTGTATTAATAGAGTATTAATAATAATAATAATAGTAATAAAAAGATAGTCACGATGAAAGTTGGTGTAAATAATGAAAAAAAAATAATAATAAATGTGACCCTTATCCAACGATCCTAGCTAAAAGCCGCATGTGAATATACATTGGAAATAGGTGCACCTCGAGAGCAGAGGAGTACAAATAAAATGCATGACATTAATAGCCTAAATCCCAGAAGGAAATCGCAAATTTAACTGTTAAGCTTCGTCCCACTGATGTGGGTCTTCCCATTTGATTAATGTCTCATTGTTTGTCCTGCAGAGTTTCGATCTACAGACGGCGTAGCCATCAATCGCCGACGAAAGATCCGAAATCGCGGCCACCACGTTCCAAATACACCGAGCTGAAGAATATACCCAGACGGACCAGAAATCACAGATAAGTGGCTTTCGGACGAGCAACCGTGATAATTCATCCATGACTTAGTTTTAATTTATCAATGACTACTTCCTTTATCGGTTATGCATACTTTTTTCTCTTAAACAAAACAAAGACAAAAATATAGCTTCCTAGCGATCGATCCTCCGACATATGACAAGATATCTAAGTCAGTTAATATATTATTATTTTGTTTCATCTGCTGGCATCGTTGATTGGAAAATTCGTTGAATTCGGTAAATTTCCATCACTGTATTTTTCAACAGACAACCTGCTAACTTTATTTATATAACGCTATTGCAAGAAGATGGAGAAGAAGCTACCGCTGCGAATATTGTTTGGCTGCTCTCTAAGCAGTGAGGATTAAGTCAAGTAGCCAATTTGTTAATGATATGTTAAGAAATAGGATTTTTTTGTAGACCCTTAAATATATTTATTTTTAAGCGTAGTTGTACACTAGTCACGTTGCAGCAAGTGCCATCATATTTATTGAAACCAACAGATGAAAAGACGAAAACACGACTGAATTAAATGATTATATCCGTATCCATAAAGGAATAGGTTTTATCATCGACTTTTAGTTTATTATATATTTCTTATGATGATTATAATTCTAATTATACTGACTGACAATAAATGCTGTAAGAATGTGTACGTGTAGAAAGTTTCGTTTCTTTTTGTATCCACTATCTTTGCACCTAGATCCAGTTTATTTACAAGTACAAGTAAATGTCAACTATATGTGCATACGCTACTTTCATTAAAGGTTACTATCACGTATCGACTTCTAACAAATATGCGAATGTTAATCTGATCCTTTCCCAGATACCTCTATTCGTCTCCACAAATTTGTAACAAAACCTCAACCGCATTTAGTATAAAAGGTATAACAGCAATATTAGTTTGAGCAATGAAAATCCTTGTTCTAAGTGACTATTTCGTTAATTACTTTGCGTTAATACACATTTATCAAGGTGTTGAATAAATGTCGGCGATAATTATAAATTGTACAAAGAGAATAAATGATAATAAAACAAACACTATACTTGTTTAATTAAATATTTGCTCTTGCGGTGGGGATAAATAAAAAATGTCATGGCTAAAGCATAACATTTTGCAATGCTGAATAAATTTAGCGAATCGTTTTTCGGATAATCGAATTCCAACCAGAAAGGCAAACGAGCGAGAGCTGATGCGGCCGTGACATTGGATCGATTTCCACGGTCCATGCTTTCACTTTTCCCCTCAAACCACCTGACAAGTGCACTCATGATTTCCTTTTCATTTTCACTAGACCTTGATGCGAGTCTTCCCCAGCTGTGGTCCAATTACTAAGAATGTATGAGTTTATCTTATATATTTATTTTGGATTTGCTCCTGTTGTTTTATCAGAAGTAAATTTTGACTTGCGAATCATGCATAAAATTTGTATTTTTATATAGTAAATGGAACTATTAGCTGTAATTTAATTGTGATCTTGCAATATGATCACTAGTTATATAATCGAAATGTGGATGTGATAGATAATGGTTTTTTTTTGTTGAATAAATTGATGCATTTCATGTAGGAACAGTAATAAGGAAAGATTTATTTTGAAAAATCGTCTTGACTCGTTTAATTGGAACAAAAAAAAATAGCTTATACAAAAATAATTTGTTTAACAAATCAGTAGAAAGACATCTTTAATATTGCTATTGAATGTTGAACGTTCGACCCCTATTAACTGTCCTAAAGTTAACATTCCCTACGGGGTGTCTAGATCTTAAAAAATACTTAAGTTTGTTAATCCCTTGAGTGTGTTCGCTTTCACGCACAGACGTCGCTACATAGAAATTCAGACAGACAAAACAGAAACAAAAGGAAACACGCACACATAGCTTTCACAGATTCTAAGTTCTGAACGACGACCACTTAAAGGATTAACAATTGTAGCAAGGCAAATGTGATTAAGAAAAACTTATTGTGCTACTGGTTATCAATGTTCAGCGATACATCCATTCTCCAATTTACAGATTGCATACGTGAAACAGGTATGAGGTATGTTCAGGCTTTAATATAAAGTCTTGGATATATTTTCAATGTCGTTACGCATAAACAGAAGAACGTCTGTATCTCTAGTCACAATCATATTTATTTGGCGCTCCACGGAGCGTGTACACCGAATTTATTTAATAAAATTGGAGCATTTTATTCCCTGAATGAATTATTCAAAGTATTGATATATTACTATATTTTTTTTTATAGAAATTGTTTCTTTGGTAGTGACACAGCACGTAATCTATGACCGAGATCGAATCGAAGTTCTTTCTATACGGATCGATTTGTTTTGTACAATGAGGATTTTTATAATTTGCGAAACGAGATACTACATCAAAAACAAAGAGAATCAAACGTTTTCTTTTGTGGTATACTAACGAAAAGTCTATCACAATACTTAGAAGAGAGAAGAAAAACAGAACTAAACGAATTGCAAAACAAAAGTTATTAAAATTACGAAACAATTTCCTATAAGATTGATTTTAACTATACTATATAATACATGTGGATCATCGGCAAACGTCGGCTGCCAACAATACCGATTGATCTAATGAACATCTTTTTGTATGTCTATTTTTCTTTACATACAAAAGGTATAAAATCGAATGAAATACCAAAGCTTCAAAAATTTGGCACCCGCTAACGTATATTGATGAACTGCTTCTATTTCGATATGAAAAATGATAATGATAATGATAAAGAAAATAAAACAAATAATATAATAAAGAAATCGTTACTTTTTTATTTAAAAAAAGTTCCGCAATACTGGTAATAAAAACAAACAAAAAATAATAAGTTATGTCAAACATGAACTTAGACAGTCTACATTTTACAAATATGAATTTGTAAGAACAAAAAAAAAATGGTAAAATAAACAATAAAATTATGGCAATGTCCGGGGAGAGATCTAGTTTCGACAGGCAAACGCGATTCAAAAACGCGCGAACTCACGAGTGGAAACGGCCCCACACACGTAGTGGAAATACGACTCATTTTTATATATATATATATTAATTTACATATTATTGCATATACGGCTTGTTCATAAATAATCTTAACTAACTATTTAAAATAAATATTTAACATTTGTACATAAATAAATAAATAATATTAAATGCACAGGTATTTTATACAAAAGGTACTCATCATCATTCTTTTACTTTTTTTGTTCAATCGCATAACTCTGACATATAATGCAATCGTCGCGTTTCTTAGTTGATACGTTCCTTCGGAAATTTGTACTAACAGTGCATCACTTCGCTTATTAAGTTAAATGAATGTTTTTGTTATATAATGTATATAATATAATGTTTGTGATAAAGTATCAGCAAGAATTATCTGTTTTGGTAGAGAAGGCCTTTTTGTGCGGATTGCTGATGTGCTGCTGTTGAGTGGATGGTCGCTTCCTCGAATTTGAACAAACCTCAGTCATTCCATTGTTACAAGTACACTTATTGCGACTGCTCTTTCGCGAGCCGCGGCCACTAACAGAATCGCAGTCGCTGTCACAATGGTTATCACTGCATTCCGTCTTCGATATAGATATATGTACTACCTTTTTTAAAGCATTATCGCTAACGTCCTCATCGCTCCGGGAATTCTTATTCGCGCAATTATCCGAACTGTTGGAAGATTTCATTCGATCGCTACTACCGGTTGTTACGTCCTCGGAACTAGACACCTCTATTGGCCAGTTATCCGTTGGTTTGCGGTCGGCCCTTTTTTTATTTGAATATTTCAGCATAGATTTATTCGTGGCTGGTGGAGTATTCGCATGGTACTTTTCGGGAGACAGCGGCGAGCTCAGTGTCACATCGGACATGGACGTGCATGTTTGCAAAAGTGTATTGTCTTTGCACTGGCCGGTGGTAGCGGCGATAGCAGCAGTAACGGTGGCGGAGGGAACGGGAACAGCAGAAGCAACCGAACATTGACCATTTATGACCACCTTGTGAGTCATTCGCAATTCCTTCTGGGAGTACTGCTTTTTGACGTCAACGGAAGGATGATGACTCGCATCGAACATTAAATCATCGTCGGCAAACAAGGTGAGCTTCTGATCGTCGGCTTTATCCTGCTGCTGTGCATGCAGCACTGAAGTTCTCCTAAGTAACTCCTGCGATGTTTGATCAAACGAAGGCGAGTTGTGCGCATCGAAGAGCACCGCTTCTGGGAATAGGTCGCATGAGTTTGGTTCGTCTACGCCCAGGTCTTCGCATTCCTCGGAAAGGCTCTTCTGAAGCCGTATTTCTCGGTCCATGGCCGCTTGCCGCCTGTGCGTACCAAACTGCTGCCCACCGTCTTTGTCCACTCGCCCGCCAGCTGTTTTTGTTCTAAGTCTCCCTTGCATGCAAAACGCGTGGTTTTGTTGCGTTTTGTCATTTTTCTGTAAACCAAACCAAAATATATATTTACTATAAATGAATATGCTGTGTATAGTCAAATGAAATCTAAATAAATTGACCGTGACCCTGAAAATAAACATAAAAACACAAAGTTACCAAACAAAAATAAAACGAAAGCGAGTCAAAAAAAAAACCGGTATTAGTAATGGAACGGATGTAATAGTTACCTTCGTATGCTTTGAAAACTTTTCTTTAGGTGCTGATTCCGTTTTGATAACTGTAGCAGTAGTATTGGCGGCAGTAACGGTGGCAGTTGCGGCTGAGACAACGACGACGCCGCTAGAGCCACTTCCCAATTGCTTCGACCGAGACGGACTACGCGATAGCATTGGCCCGTTAGAGGAACCTGCCGTCACGAGGACAGATTGTACTCGTCTTTCTTCAATTTTTTCGCCTGCGAAATGGAAACAAAAAAACGTGACCTGTTAGTGAGATGTTTAAGTGCATACCCTGGGACAACCTTTTACATCCATCGGATTTATGTTAAGCGTCATCATTCCTTGTGTATTCGATGAATCCGATGTTTCTTCGATCTTGATGTTCTGGGCAATGACGGGTGTTGCAATCGGTGCAGTAGTAGTAGTAGTAGTTGAATTTGAAGTAGATGTTGTCTTCAGCGGTTGCTTATGGTACAATTTTTTGTCAGAAGAACTTTCGGACATGGCAGTGTTTTCATCTATATCGGACTCTAGTTTTGTGGCTATACTGGTGCTGCTATCTGGCTGAGGATTATCTTCTGCAGGTGTGCGATTGGTTTCTCTAGATTGTGAAATCGTCAAGACAATTTCAGTATTCACTCGTTCAGTTTCTTCTATTGTTTTTATGGCAATGGGTTGACCCAAGGTAACAGTGCTAATACCATGGCCAGGGGGAGGAAGGATAACGGGAGGTTGGGCTGATACCCCTGCTAGTGTCTGGGAGGAAATACCGGTGAGGGGCTGAATGGTTGAATATTTTACGGTGGACACATTAGTTTTTCGGGTTTGATTAAGAAAACTCTGGAAAAGCAACATGTTTGGTCCCGATCGTGCCGGGACCGTAGCTAAAATTTTGCTTCCACCCGACACCACAGCAATTTGTTGCCCACCCTTAACCATAGACACCGGCATTATATAGTTTCCAGGCACCAGCACCGCCGTATTCGGCATTTTCAAGGCTTCGCCGACGCTAGAATCAGCAATAATTAGATTACGAGTTTGAGTATGAGATGAATCGGTTAATATGAGTTGCTGTCGAGTCGTCGTCGTTGTCGGCGTCGAGTCGTTCGATTCGGAAGCGTTGCCGGCCGCGGATGTTTGCTCATCGTCTTGCATCGATATCTGCACTATTCCACATGAACTGTCTTCACTGCCTGCTGTTCGTGGATCGTCAATGTCCGCATCGGAGGACAGCGAACATTGACCACTCTTTTTGGACGACGAACTTTTTTTTCTTTTTGAATTTTGGCTGGGATTCGTAGGTGGGTTAGAACGTCTTCGCGGCGCAGGCTTATTGTTCAGGTCGGGCGAGTTTCGTAGCTGCTCCGCGTATTCGGCTAATATATCGAAGATCCTTTGTGTCGTTTGTTCGTCTTCCTGAGATTTCTGCTGGGGTTTGGGAATGTTCGGTGAAGTCTTCGCGGGATGTATGGGTGCCGTCTTTATGGTCTTTCCTCCTCCCTTCGTAGTTTTCACGGCGACCTTTGGAAGAACTGGCGTAGGTGTTGAGGCCGGAGTTACACAAGGACTGGAGCTCCCTTGCGAAGCGACACTCAAGGCTGGCGAAACTGCTGGTTGTAAATTGTTGTAGCTGCTCACTACCACGACCGAGGAACAGTTCAATTTCTGAGTTTGGTTTAAATATGTTACACTTATACATTGTGGCGAAGTAGTAGAATCGTTGCTTTCCGTAGACGCGGCGGATCCAGCGTCGGCCGGTGTTGAGGTGCTGCTGCGCTCAGTAACTTGCTTATAAACCATATCGAATTCTCTAAGTTGCTCTAAAGTGGTCGAACTTAAGTTGGTTTGCGGAGTATTCCTTATCACATTCGTTGGGATCTGTAGGACCGGTTTCACTATTCGAGAAGTTTGTACTAACGACGGTTGCGCCACTTGTATTCTTGTCGTGCCGACATTGTCTGTTCCGTTGTGCACATTGCTGTCAGGCGCATCCGAATCTTCAGTTAAAGGCTCAGAACTTTTAGTTTTACCTTGTAACGCAGCAGCCAACAATGCATTCATCTTATTTTGTATCACAGTATCTTTAGGATTTGTTGAAGTTGCAATCCGAAAAACTTGTCCCCGCGTTTGTGGTATCAAATTTATTGCTTGGCCAACAGGCACCTGTCTCGTGTATATTACGCTACCTTGGATAGGTTGCATACTAACACAAGCATTTTTGTTTTGCTGTTTGTCTTTATCAATGTCATCGGTCACGTTGTTAGTAAGATTGTTAGTAGTAGCATTAGTACTGTCAACACTATTTTGGTAGACGGACTTACCGAACGCCTGCTGAAACTTAGGCAAAGTTTCAGAATTTTTTTCCATGCTTTTACTGGAGGCTATTTTTACTATGGAACACTCTTCTCGATTTGAGGAATCTGTTGATGTGGAGACAGCTTGTGTGCTATCAGATTTAGGTCTAGTAGGCACTGTATGTGCTGGATAAATTTTCCCACCTGTGGATTTATAGATAAATTGCACAATACGAGCTGGTTCAGAGTTTAACGTACCGACAACGGATTTTAATGGCCCAGAGTTACTGCTTGTATCACTATTTTGTATGGGGGTAGTTCTGGATGTAGAATTGGCCTAGAACAGATTCTTTAATAATTAAAGTTATTACAATATCAATCCGCTACAAACAAACCTGTGAATCCTGGTTGGCCGGCGAAATGGATGAATTGTTTTCCACTTTTATAGCGGGTTTGATGCTCTGCTGACTAATTATATTTATAATGGGTCCTGTACGACTACGAGTACCATGGCTCGGTCTTGTAATCTGCTGCGTCAGCATGTTTATGAGAGTTGGTGATTGCGTGACCGCTGATTTATAAGAGTTACTCGTTGCCTTGTCAGAAGTAGCCGATTCGGAGTTACTTGGTTCAGAGTTCTTTTCACTTCGAGGCTGCCCTATTCTTTGAATATGAGGGCTAACCTGCGTACTTGTTTGTGTGTTTCCTGATGTTACAGTAGATGATGTTCGTCCACCTGCTACCTGCACCACATTCACAACTCTATCTGTACTTTCAGGCCTCATCAAATTTAAATCTTTAATGCCTGGGACACGTGCTAATAAAGACTTCATAGAGGAATCATTCAACCTTTCTAATACTACGCGGGGGTTCATCGTATCAGATTCTACGAGAAGCTTCTTCTTAAGAGCTTCCAAAACGACTGGATCTCTAATTGGTTTTTTTTGCACGTTACAGAGCGAATTATAGTTTTCATCCTTAGTCCCTTGTTGACTAACGTTCGACTCCACAAATTCACTTTTTTTCTGTTTCCGTCTGGTGACCCACGCCTTTCTTGCGGCTTTTCGTTTCCTCTTGACCGGTTTCTGTACGGCAATAGGAGGTTCCTTAACTCTATTCAGCACTACTCGGCATTCGCGCAAATTGTACTTAACTTGATCCGGCAATTGGCTAAGTGCAGATGATCTAGTACGACTAACAACCACATTTTCAGGTTCATCATCAACTACTACAGTCTCATTATCTATTTTATTTTTAGAATCTTTGGATACCACTAATGGAGATTTATCTATAGTGAGAAGAGGGGAGACTCTTTCAACTGGGGCTTGAACACTTGCCACACTTTCCGTCTGAGGAAGCTCTGTCTTTATAGCCACTTCGGTACCAACAGTGCATGTAACCGGACAAGTTCCTTCCATTGCAGGCTTAACGTCATCACAATTTATTTCTTCTACTACAGGCTCTAAAGTATTGTCAACTTCCATATCCTCAAAGATAACTAATTCATTGGGATTGATTCTAAACGTGTATGCCTCCACCTTGCTTTCAACGATATCATTTTCTTCAATTGCCCAATCGTCAAGAATTTTCTTGGCGCTATTCAATTTGGGACTCGTGGTCTCAATTTTTGTAATATTTGAAACAGAGTTCGACTCTGCTACCAAGTTATGTTCGTCAACAAGCATAGATTCTTTAACTTCAACTGCATTAGAGGAATCATTAGTAACAGAGTTCGACTCTGATTTCAAGTTCAATTGATATCCGTCAAACCGTTCGTCAAGAAGCAAATCTTCATCAACTTCAATTGTATTATCGTCTACGTACAATCGTCCAGTTGATGTCTCCATAATTCGATTCAATGAAGTCATATCGGTATCTCCAAAAAGAGCCTGTTCCAACTCGTGCAGATCTTCACAATCATCAGGTCCTTCTAGCAATCGCTTTTCTGCTTCTAGATCTAACACATTATTATCATTTATGTCGGCCCCGCTACCCAACTCATTGACTGGTTTTGCTTCAGCACTCACTAGGTTGTCATATTCAGTATTCTTGACTTCCTCTTCAATCTTTGCTTGAGTAACGGGTTCCTGTGAAAAATTTTTCTTTGAATTTTTCTCGTTGGTCTGAACAACGCGTTCATTGGGTTTATGCAAGCAAGGCCACGCTGACGTTTCGAAAAGGTCTTTGCGAATGTGAAGCACAGCTTTCGATTCGTTTCTTGGCGTCTCCTCGTCATCATTTATTACTCTGTTTGTTACTGTATAATCGTGGGCGGAAGACGAAGATTGGGTTGTAACAACAACTGGACACGTTTCTACACTTGGGTGATGGATATCTGCGCTCAATGCTGCACTCTGCTCTGGTTCAACTTGCACTGACTTCAAGGATTTTCTGAACAATCTTAACGTTTTTATTGCATCTGGATCTTTTGCGGTCGGACATAGACTTTCATCGTCAGATGTTTCATCCTCTCCAGATGAAACAACTCGTTTTCGCTTTTTCTTCTTCTTTAAATCGGTATATTCATTTAAAATGGTTTCCTCAAAAAGCTGAGACTCCGCCATTTCCATTTCTCTCTTCAACAAGAATGGAGTATAGTCTACATCGACATACTTTAATTCAGTTATCAAGTTCTTTGTCTTAACTGGATCATTGAGGTACATAATGCAAAGCCGGTGCAAATCGTCCCAGCATTGCAGCCAGCTCAACAGCTGGTACCTTGTACAGAAAATGATAACCACAAGATCGTCGCATATTTCTTCGCTTAACCCCATTCTGTTAGTACGTAGAGCTTCAGACAACGCAGTGTTTGGTTGTTTCAGAGCAGGGTTATTAAGTTTCAATTCCAACGAATAGTCATTACAGTAATCGCATAGTATTAAGAGATCGTCTTCTGGTTGAGCTGGTTTATGAAATCGACACGTCCATTGTCCTGTATCCAAAACATTATAACCGGACGCTCTTGCGGCCCCTTCAATCTGAAGAAGGCTTTCTAGGCTTGGCCTTAAACTAAATGCCGACAATAAACATTCTCTGGATACTCGCAAATTGTCTTTTAACAAATTTGCTAATCGAAGTAAACCGTCGGCGACCCGTATCGTGGTTTCTGTAACTTTTTCCTCATTGTCGTTGTCAGTCTTTAGCTTTTCCAATAAATTCATATCGGTATTCAACGCCTGGATATATACCTCGACATTATAATTACGCATTCTAATGCCAAACTATAACAAACATTGCAATTAGTAGATATAAATCGTTTTAAAAACGCCTGAGAGTACTCACCTTACAATCTAATTTCCTCACAATCAGATACATATGAGATGAGGTAAAAGCATTTCTCATGATACGTCTCAGGCATGCAATTAAATCCTCTTGATCTTCATCATTTTCATATGTCGCTAGCCAAACTTCCAACAGCTCATTTAAGTAGACTTCTATTTCTTCAACCGGTTGCATTACGCCTCTTGTTAAGAATATCGTCCCAGACAATTGGGCGATGCAGATGCTGTTTAACCAAATCTTGGAAGCAGTTATCAATTTACAACTAAACCTGCGAACCATATCCACGCCATCAGAGAACGTCATTTCTTTCAACTAAAATGCAAATAGTCAATAATGCAAAGCAAAATAATAAATATCATTAATAATACCAGTCCAGACATCTCTTTTGTTTGGTTCAGCTTGTACAACAAAGCAAGGTATACATCGAATACAAACTTCCTCTGGTCAGCACTTATGTACATGTTTTTGTTGTACATATCAGCCCACTCACAGCACTTTATGTATGTGCGAGTTAGATTAAGTGCCATGTCTTCACACCTATCCTCACATAGTTTCTGAAGGCGCATAGATATGAAGTACCCAGATTCTTCATACACAAAGTAATTGTAATCTAGAACATCAAATCCCATTATGTAAGATATATGAATCAAATTTGAAAATAACTTACCCTCAATTTGAATCAGAGGTTTAGAACAATTTAGCATACGTATGATAGGTAACTTCTGCCATGGGGATTTGGCTACACCAAGAAGCTTCCTACATGTCAGTTGAAATGATGTATTAACAACAAAATATTTCGAACATTTGTCGATGGCATGCACAAGTTGCTTATAATATATGTCTGAAATTTGAATAACTCAATTAATTTTCTAGTTTGTATTTTGGAAATATACAATACCTTTGTGTTTAAGCCAGTTAAAGGATAACACAATATTCAATGTATGATTCTTCAGGTATTGGGCTAAGGTATGGAAGTTCTCTTGTGAGGGCATGCATTTCAGGCTCCCAAATTCCCCCCATGTTTTAATTAGGGCCTTTATTTTAGTCTCTAGAGTTTCCTCATTACTGTTTAGTATGCGTTCTTCCTATAATACAAAATAAACATAATGATAGGTTTCTCAGGAATTAACAATAACTGTTTCGACATTCATATTAGAATCTTATTAAATATAATGAATCGTTTATATGAAAAAGCAGAGCGTGCATTAGCAACAGCGAGTATCATGCAAGGTAGCTAATAGTAATTGGGAAATGAGAAAAGAAAGCAAGGGATTTATCTAACTAAACAAATAATAACAAACAGGAAATTAACCAGGAATAATCACAATAAACACTTATTTAGTGTTCAGTAAATCATTTCTGGCCAACTTCCCACAAACTAAAAGTAATAAAAAAAAAAAAATAAAAATAAAAAAATACGTGCTTGAAAGGGGTAGACTTTCACGACCACTAAACCCGTCAATTCCGTACTCATCTTGTCCAGAATACTATATGTTAAGAGTATAATCAGACATTTCTTCTTCAGAGAAAACGGAACGGATCAAAAATTATATCAAAAAAAACATACACTATGGGACACTAGTGGCGAGTAACTGAGAACTAAATTCAAAATTACAAAAGGTTTTGCAAAGCCAACCGTCGTTTCTAAACCGCTCTTCTTTTATTTCGTCCCTTCTTTTTTTTTTGTAATATTCGTTCTTCGCGAGAATAGAAAGTACTTATATCACTCACTAGAAGAATATAAATTTTTTGTCATGAAAGTAATTTTACATAAACAATTAACACGCAAAGTTATAATCACTATTCGTATATCGCTATGCAATTACATTATAATAGGTACACACACAAATATATGCGATTGTATACACACATATAAATATGTATAAACATGGCGGCCATGCCAAAACAACAAATGAGCCTGTTCCAGCAACCATGCAAATAAATTCCGTTTCGTATACGAAACTCCCTTAATAACAATACGATTCGTTCACCTTGCTAATCTTTCTAAAGTCCTCGCCACTATACATTTTTCGAACATTTACCGACGAATTTTGTTTATGTAGTTCTACCGTCGCCATATTTACACCAGTTACATACTTCCATGAGCGCACGCTCGCAAACGCCGGTTCGACAACAAACCGATCGTAGCGCCAACGGCCGACCGGCTGCCCACACACACCACACACAAACCAACCGACGTACGAACTCCACCGCTCCACCGTCGCCGTCCCCGCCACCACCCGCCACCACCGATACAAAAAGACCCGCGCCGACCAACGAGCGCGCTTGCTGACGTCACCGGACTGCCCGTTACGTAATCGCGCGCCGCCCGCTGTCGTCACCACCAGCGCAATCCATCTGATTGATATCATCATCAATACCAATCAATAATGATTTATCCAAAGATCATCACATTCTATTAGCAATTTCAAATGCAACATTATGCAACAACTTACAGATACAGTACGACCTCGCTTAACGCTATTTCGGTATAACGCGGTTGAATTGGAATTCCCGAAATCGCACACGATTTTGATTTATATCATCATCAATACCAATTTGCCTGAAGATCATCAAATTCCATAATCAATTGTGAAAATTTGCACAATTTCAAATGTAACATTATGCAAGAACTTACATAACGCGATCGAATTGGAATCCCCGAAATCGTGCAAGATTTCGTTACGCAATCCATCTGATTGATATCATCATTAATAACAATTTGCCCTAAGATCATCACATTCCATTAACAATTATGACAATTTCAAATGCAACATTATGCAACAACTTACAGATACAGTACGACCTCGCTTAACGCTATTTCGGTATAACGCGATTGAATTGGAATTCCCGAAATCGCACACGATTTTGATTTATATCATCATCAATACCAATTTGCTTGAAGATCATCACATTCCATTAGCAATTTTGACAATTTGCACAATTTCAAATGTAACATTATGCAAGAACTTACAGACTTAACGCTGTTCCGGTATAACGCGATCGAATTGGAATCCCCGAAATCGCGTACGATTTCGTTGCGCAATCCATCTGATTGATATCATCATTAATACTAATTTGCCCGAAGATCATCCCTTTCCGTTAGCAATTGTGACAATTTGAATAATTTCAAATGCAACATTATGCAAGAACTTACAAACTTAACGCTGTTCTGGTATAACGAGATCGAATTGGAATCCCAGAAATCATCAATGTAATGTGATATAATCATCAATACCAATTTGCCTGAAGATCATCACATTCCATTAGCAATTGTGACAATTTGCACAATTTCAAATGCAACATTATGCAAGAACTTACAGACTTGACGCACTTCTGGTATAACGCGATCGAATTGGAATCCACGAAATTGTGCATGATTTCCTGGCGCAATCCATCTGATTGATATCATCATTAATACCAATTTGCCCGAAGATAATCACATTCCATTAGCAAATGTGACAGTTTGCACAATTACAAATGCAAGAATTCGATTTATTTGAAGAAATGAACTGAAATAAACTTAGAAAAGCAGCATTCTAATTGGAAATCTTATGGGAATTCAATATCAATCAAAATTAGTTAAGAATGTATCATTTTTTTTTAATCCAGATACACAATTTTAATTATTTGCAAATTGTGTTTAAATATATGTTAATATTGAAATTCTGATATAAGAAATCCATTTGTATATGCTTGAAGCTCAAATGTTAATATTGAAAAAATTTGATACAAGATAATTTGAAATTGCTTAACAAGAACAAATGTAAAATCCAATTTAAAATTTTGCTGATTGTAATAGAAAAAGGCTGTGATTGAAATATAATTCTGATCAAAGTTTGTGAATCATTCAAGGAATAAACAAGAATGAATTTTACTTGTTTTAGCTCTATTTGTAGCATGCATATATCGTTATTCTCTTTTAATTTGTAGTGATGACTGACTATCTATGGGTAAATAATAGAATATATTTATATGAAAATGCTATGAACTTGTCAAGCGTGCATTTATTATTCTCTTTTTCTTGTTCTTAAAAATATCGTATTGTAAAATGTATGCATGCATTTCAAAGGTAATAGGCATTTAACAAGCTAAAATATGTTCAATGAAAGCAGCGCATTGCATATAGAAAGTAAACAATTTCTATCGAAAAGATACAATATCTGAAAATATGAATTAATGTACGTTTACATTATTTTCTTGTGATTAATCTTAAGTTTTAATGTTCATGGGATAGGCACCCAATTCACATTAAAATAACATGTCAATACTCTATACAAACCATTCTGTTAGTTAAGATATAATTGATAGCTATTACTACCAGTAGAAATACTCATCCTATAACAGTATATTCCATAAAATGGAATGTTTTCATCTTTAGCATAATCAAAATTAGGAGAAAAATATTTCTTATATATCAAGAATATTAATTCAATCTGTATTTGCTTCTCATCAATTGCAATTGGGTCTCTGCTTTACCCATCATCCCAATTTCAGTATCTAAGTATCGAAATACTGGAGCGACAGGTTCTTGTGAGTTTTTCTTGATTATTGGAAGCACCTCATCCCATTCGAAAGCATGCAAACAGGTTTTAGTGTTTAAAGCCGAGAAGTCCACCAAAACAATTGTATCTGGATGTTTCATGTAGACATCAAATACATCTAAAAAATAATTAATTAATTAATTAACACTATTTAACAAATAAGAAATCAGAACTTACAATTTGATCTGATAAATTTTCCTTGCAATTTATCTTTAAAGAAATTAGATATTTTATCAATAATATCATCACCTTCTTTGGCATAATGTGGAAAGTAACTAGGCCAATCTCTTGGTGTTATTCCTAAGTGGTAGTAATAATAATAATTAAGTACATTCATGACTACTCTTACATATCACATTATATACTACATACCTCTTAATATATTGTTTATGACTATACAACGAAACTCGTATGCTGGATTTATATCAGTCCATTGTCTGAGAGCTAAACAATAGTCCTTAAAGTCTTTATGCGAGAAATCTTGCCCAATAATACTGGATCCATTCAAGAATAAAAATAAATCAGGAATGTTATTCACAGACATGGTTTTGTCAAAACTCAACATTTGAGCATCCTGCAATAAGTATATTTTAAATCGAGCTAATCAACATTCAAATATTTACCATTGGAGCATGCCAGTTGCTCTTTATGAAAGCTCCAGGAGATCTGAATGTACGCAGAATGTCTTTCAGAACATTCTTAAACTCAGGTGGACACCTCTCCTCAATATTCCAATCAACTTCTTCAGCATTAAACATCTCTATGACTGAAGATGGTATTGGCACTAAGACTGTTTTAATTGTGATAGCTTTGAATGTATCATACCAATTGGTTATTGAAAAATCATTAAGGTCATCGGATTTCTAAAGAAATAATTGTTTAATATTTAAAATTTCAAACTTACAATGCACTATTACCATCTTCTTGTTTGATTGCTTTTCTGCAAACGCTTGTAGCACAGCTGTCTCGTCCATGGAATCCATTATTTTGCAACCATTTAATAAACTAAATAATATACCTATTGATACCTACAAAGTATTGACCGAAGGTTATAGGTTATGTACAACCCATAATGTTTTTAAATAATAAAATCAATAAATCTTTATGAAATTAATTTTTAAATTAATGAATCATAGCATAATTATAAATAAATCACAAGAATTCATATGAAAATTATTATTATCTATAAACAAGCATTTAAATAATTTTATAAATGGTGTCTTTGGTGGCCTATACACATTTATAGTGAATCATTTTATTAAAGAAAAGTTTAATAATTCTATACTTATCTAATTTAGATACTATATACATTAAACTACTTTAAACAAAAGTTTTTGTATAGTGAATAAACAGAAACTTAGGATATGAAGCATCCAAAATATCCAAGAATCATTGCTCATTTAAAATGAATAAAAACCAACAGAATCTAATGATATTTGCTAAATAAAGACAATTGTTAATGGTAGAGACATCTAAATATCAGAATAGTTTTTCTCTTCCTTCTGCTTCTTCCCTCTGGATCTAAATCAGAATGGTTTGGTTTATGATAAATTTATTTTTTTGAGAACTGTTGGTTGCCTACAACTAATAACCAGAATTAAGAAATTTGAAGACTTGCATAAGTAAATATTTGAAAAGGCATTTGTCTTTCTTCATATTGCTAGAAAGCAAATTTATGTATAAAAACAAGAAAATTAGAACAATTATTGTTTTTGTTGTTATATATTAATTAAACATTTGTTGTTAATTGTTTAAAAAATGAATAAATAATGGTTTTTACATACTAAAATATTTTTATTTCATATACGAACGATATGCATTTGAATTTAATATAATCATAAGTAGTTAAAATTGTTTTTGCAAATATTAGATTTTGCAAAAACCCTATTAGATAGTCCAATGAAGCAAAATTTTCCAGTTTGACCGGTTCTAATTTTAGCTGTAACAAGTTTAGTTTTATCTGCATTTTTTGAGAATTTTTAAATATTGACCTTAAGTTGTTTGATTATTTGAAATCTTTTATTGCCTGGAACAAGGTTGCTAATAAAATTATAGATATATTCTATCATGAAATTCAATGGATTTTTAATTATATAAATAAAATTTTAACTAAAGATGTTATGTTGGGATATTTTCGAGGCTGTTGTATAAAACGTGTTGGACGAGGTAGAGGGATTACCTAGATGTAAGTGAGTGAACCGTATTAAATGCAAGTAGGGTCTGCGGTAGTTTCATTTTCGATTTAATTAAACATCAATTTTTCCCCCGTCAGAGCTTGCTGCAATTATAAAGTTTCATATACATCGCATGCGATTATAATCAAAGTTCGCGTAGTATCAGAAGTTAATGAATGCACTTTGCGAGTGATGGGAACGTAATTAAGTTTAATTGGTGTTTCTGTTTGCTGAAAAAAAAAAGAAACAAAAACATAACGCATCTTCAAGGGGTGGAAGAGATCGGGTTTTCAGCGCAAGCAAAAACGACAAAAATCGCTTCTATTTCCAACCAGTTCCGAGTGTATGTATGAGTATGAGTGTGTGCGCGAAACGCGTGGGCGAAATGTACACATTCAACGCGATCCCATCGTGATATCAGTCAAAGTTGATAGCTAAACTCGCCCCAGAAGTCACTTGAAATGGCGCCTACAACAAACAGTATTTCAACCCTATTTACGACTCTGGCAGCGTAATAATCTATGGTTTTATTGCGTTGCACCCCACGCTGAAAAACAACAAACGTTTATATATATATATACACACATGTACACATACACCTCTCTCGATTCCAGAGAAAGAGTGAGAAGGCTTAGGAACAAAATAACACAAATAAAAATAAGTAAGATGGAACAACTGAAACGGAGCGCGACAAATTGAATTATTTTAAATATTTTCTTGTTTGCTGCTCATCAAGAAAATTCGGTTAGACGATGTTTGTATCACTTCTCCTCCTCCTCCTCCTTCATCACATTTTTATTTGTCCTGTTTTTCGTTCTCGGTCGCGCTCTTATCTGCCGGTTTATTTAGCGGCCGTCCCATTTGTCTTGTAGTTTGTCTCCGGCCCCGATCCCCGTTGTCCATATAAATTGACAAGTGGAAGCATTAATTATGCAAAGTACTTAGTTAAGTTAGTAATTATGTCGCCGGGTAATTTATAAAGCGCAGCGGACACAATGATCCCCTGCGCCGGGCGCGCGTTTGAATCTTATCTCAATGCGTTTCGAGCGAATTTATTTATGAGTTGTTACAATGGTAAATACACACACACACACACACAGAGAGAGAGAAAGAGAGAGGACAATTGAAAAGTTGCCGCGCCATTGATCGTATCAATCAATTATTCATTGCCTCGATTAGGGCTGAATGACGAATTGCTATCCTCCGGTTTTGAAACCGAAGGTTGATCAATATTTGATTATATATAATAACCGGTATATAGTAATCAATCGGCTTAATTTAAGGAAAATATCAAAACACATTTTTTTTACACATTTCCATCACCATTTATTGTATAAATTACACAAAAATATATATATAGTTTTAAATCTCATTTACAAAAGAAAAACACATTATCTTTACATAAAAAAATCGAAGCAAAGACAAAAATAAAAACACGTAATAAAAACAATTCTAAAGATACAAAAATATATGTATAATATCTCTATATATATAAGAAGCGTACTTAAGTCATATGTAGTGTGATATATTCATTGTGTGTATAAGTATTATGTATAAATCATTCGTACTCGCAACATTCACACAGTCTTACGTAAATATTGAGTATTTTAATTTTAACCGAATATGAAGTACAAAATAGTTATATGATATATCTATATTTATATAATAATAAAAAGTGGAAGAGAAAGTTGAGGGAGAGGAAGAGTAGATTGATTATAAGTCCTATTTTATCCGCAACGTTATATACAAAGGGTGTGTGGAATTATCATCTAAATCCGGTCGAACAAAATCGGCAGTAAGAGAGACAGGATTTATGGGAAAGACGGGTTAGATATCCGAAACAGACAAACGTAATAATTAATTAATCAATTAATAATAATAATAATAAAATAATATTAATCACTATGCTAACTTAATCCCATTCCCCAATGTACATGGTACGAGGTGGATTTGGTATGTAAGCTCTAGTCGGTATTGGTAGTCTGCCGTAGATCGGGTTGTAGGGCGATTCGACGGCGTCTGAATCTGAAATTGCATTATCTGAATTGCCTACGAAAAAAAGGAATCATGGGCTTGCACGAACCAATGCCGCTCTCGTAGCTCCTCGTGTGCCACATGGGATGCTGGTGAAGTTGGTGCTGGTGCATCACGGGAATCGGGGGCGGCTGCTGGCTAACGGAGAAACGCTTCGAAGGCACGGCATCCTTGGATTTCGATTTGGCCACGAAGTTGGGAACTCGGGCGCGCAGACCGCAGTAGTAAGGGTCGTCTGCACAAAAGAATAAAGCGATTCGGTTACGTTCCATTTTGAGCTGGAATAATCTTTGTTTTCTTACCATATTTCTTACTGTCTTTCGATTTGTCTTTACTCCTAGATGTTGGGAACGGTTTGAGTCTACCTCCTTGCTCCTCGTGATCATCGTAGTCAGGCTTGAAAACGCACGGATATTAGCTTTGTTAATAGCGTAACGATGGTGGTAACAATACCTTGGGGATGTCGTGGGGATACATGTTCTCGCGAGGTGGTAGTTTCGGCGGTTTTTCGCTACGACGTTGGGCGTGTTGTTGAGACTGGATCAAGAGTTGCTCCCTGGTGGCAGCTACACTACCAGGTCCTGCGAATCCGGAACTGCCGGAGCTGCCGCTGCCGTTGCCTGCCACGCTGTACGGATCCTCGTCTGGGATAGGAATGCGTGGCCTGTTCTTGATGTCCATAACTCTTTGAACTTGGCAAGGAAAAACAAAACATGGATAGTGAGTGAGTAGGCCGTATCTTAGCCGGAAAATGCAAAGTACCTGGTGGCAATTTAGATTTGAGCATGTCCATAGCGACGACGTTGATGATGAGCACCCAGATAGGGCACTCCAGGAGCTCTTGTTCGCTTTTGACGAAAGCGATCGCGCTCAAGCACTGGCATTCCAGTCGCCTGCGATCCGGATAGGCCCTCCTCAATTCCCTGTTTACGTTCGTTTGGAACTTCTTCATGTCGAACAGCTTTACAGGTTTTTCAGGTTCGAGGGCGCAGCCAGGCAATTTCAATATCTCATTGCCGATTGCGTTTTCGTCGTCCTGCCCGGTGCTCTTGATGTACACGTTGCACTTTGACACCCTCTTGATAAGAATGTTACCAGCGTCGTCCATCTTTATCTTGACACCCTGCACATAAGACAACAAAAGTAATGCATGATTCACTGAATTCAATATTTTCGTTTAGCTTACATGACCGATATGCCTTTTGTACTCCTCCGTCTTCTGGTCCCTCATAGGATTGTCGAAGCCGCACAGTCCGATCCTAAACAAACAAGTGTAATACATGCAATAGCGGACAAATATCCGTTTGTTTTTAGCGGTTCGGACAAGACAATGTAAGAAATGATATAGGCATCGTTTATTGTTCAAATCTGAATTATTTGATTTCATTGTTAGCGGATAATTGATAAATTTGTCGTCGGGAAAATGAATGAACGGTGGAGATCCTTCGCGTTTCGCATCCCATTGTCGTGATCGAAATGCAATGTTGGAAAAGAAGAGTACTCGAAACAAAATGCATATTGAATTCACATTGCGAGAGATCGGTGGATGTGTCGACGTTGTGGGCGTTTAAGAGCCAACCTTGGATTCGTTAGAAAACGAATGCCGATCTCTTTTAGACACTCTTTACCGCAATGTTAGGAATTAAATATGCACCGTATTAACATAAGAATACTTCAGAGTCTTGTTCTCGGAACGTTTGCATCTCTATGCAAGTGGAATTGAGTCTGCATAAATGGGTTTCAGTTTGTGGAGAGGCCTGATCCTTTCTTTCTCCTCTTCTTCCATCATTTACATGCCTCGTCTCTCGTCCTAGTCATTTTATTTTGGTCGCGCTCCTCGAGTCAGAGGTCACATCAAACTCTATTATCATCGAGTCCGCTAACATAGAGAAAGTCGCTGGTTTTTTTCTTCATCTTAAATTTCATTTTCATTACGAACAGGAAAATTAGAAGCCTTTGCTCGCAGGAGAAAATACTTTCGAATTGTTGTTTATATATGTATATGGTCGATGCACGCAGTCGCTTTTAATTATCGATAAACGCCGTTGTTGTTTTCCTGTTTTGTTTTCATTGCAAAACTGCAACATAGGTAGGTAGTAGTAGCAACTAGTTAGCGAACGCGTGCAAACTACCACCAGTCGCAACAGGTATGATCGGATTCGAGCGGCGACAATGAGGGAAATAAATTATAGATAAGTGGACAGTGGCCAGAAGTTGGCCAGATAATTGCGAGCTTTGTTAAAGTGCGATATTTATATTGGACGCAAATAAATGATTAGGAGGAGAGGTCAGGTGGCCTTGGCAAACGTGGCGACAATCGCGTTATCAGAGTGCCTGAGCCCGCACCTAGGCACGACTCCT